GCCATGCAAACACAACTGCTTCACGGTTGAAACACGAATTATTTAAGCAAAGCCACGGGATACACCTAATGTAAAAAAATAGTACAATCAGATCATGGGTGATTTTCAACAAGTGTGATTTCTATCTAATTTCGGTGAACTTTTTTAATTTAGTAATAAAAAGTAGAAAAGTAGATGTCCCTAGAAAGTATTTTATAAAATGATTTCTTCTATATTTCGGGGGTATCAGCATTTCTAGGGACTCCAATTTGAAAGCACAGTCGTAAGGTCCACCGTAGCACTTGTTGGAAATCACCCCCAATATTATTCAAACCTAATATAAGATCCGACCTTAATGTCATAAAAATAATGTCTAATGGCCTATTTGATTTCTCATCTATATTCTATTGCTGCCAATTTGTCGTAAATTGTGGCAAATTATATGACCATCTGTCGTCTTAGAATAATTTTAGGCTGGTCGGACACTATCAAATTGACTCTCAAAGTGGACAATAACATCTCTTCGTAGTAGCTAGGGTTGTAGTGCTTAGAAAAAACTTGATAAATTTATAAGTTACCTTTTATGAGTGTAGTAAGTTATTAATAATGTAGTACCTAAAGTTAAAAATATCAGAAAACGCAAGACAACGGTAAGCGTACAATTTTGAGAGGATCTAGTTTAACACGTAGTGTAATCACTAATTAGATATGTAGATATTTTTTATCTATTGTGTGTGCAGCAATTTACACAGCACTTTCAGGGTGATTGGCTAGACAGTAATAAAAAAATAATTTTACGTTCAGATAAAAGCTTAAGAAACGTACATGTTAAGAATTTAGTTGCCTATGACTTTTTAATAATAACTTTATATGTAAATACCATTGCTTTTCAGGCTGTGGTCTAGTATTAAATATTTAAAAAATCCTATACTTATTATAATAAGTAAAATATGTACTTATGCTTGCGGCAGTTTTCGCACAAACGGCAAAATTCATTTGCAATTGAAGTCACAGCCTTTTTTCTAAGAAAAAAAAAAAGCAAACACCAAGCACTATTTGACAAATCCCCCGAGGTGGTGGCAAGTTATTTTCATCCCTTTCGTTCTTTTGTAGAACAGTGTCTTCTGTCTCCGTCGCACACAGTCGTTTAGGTTCTTTTTCGTTAACGCTTTTCCTGAACGGCGCCACGTTTATTTTTCATTTCGTGGGGCGTAGAAAATAATTTTCTGTGAGCTTTGAACTCGCAGCGAGGGAAAAATAGGAAATTTGAAAAATGTAATTGGATTTGGTACTAATCTCAACGCCTCGTGTATCATAAGCGGGAAGAATGCGTGTTGAAATAGAAAAAAAATGTACCTGTTTGCTTATTATTTTAAAGTATACAAAGAGTACATTTATGGGTGTACATAGCTTGCCGTAACACCTACTTAGTACTTAAAAAGATGAATGTAATGTGACTGGCAACATCATATCGTCCTTAAGTACATTTGGGAAAATTATTTAAAGAGCTGATCTTAGAGGAAAGGATTTGTTAGTAACAGGGGCTAACAGCCCCATTGCTAGCAATATAGCCTATCAGGTCGACCTCCATGTGGTTCTTTCTTTACACCATCGTGAATAATTCTTGTAAAATTCCTCACGATGGGCTAACTGATCTGCTTTCACCTTCACCAATAATCTCTCACTGACATATTACGATTATTTTAGTGATCAACGGTTAAAGTACATTAAGTTCATATTGTTACAATTTGCTAGTCTTTTTATAGTACAAAATCGTATATTATTTTTAACCGATTTTAAAAAGAAGGAGGTTTTCAATTCTGTTTTTTTTTTATGTTTGTTACCTCATAACTCCATCAATTATAAACCGATTTGGAATTTCTTTTTATCTATAAAGATATACTTACAGATTGATCCCATAGTTTTATCAAAATCGGTTCGGTAATTTAGTTTTTGATCAAAATAACTTATTTTGTCACAATTAAAGTCGGTTTTTTTTGTAGACACAATCTTAAATTATTGAGAATATCAGGTTAAATATATATATTCGTATATTTCCATATAACATACGAACATCATTTCCAATTTTTTCAATATTGATTAATTGAGTTCTACAATATGTGTATCAACTTAGTCACCTAGTTTCCTTTTTTGCAGAAATACAGTTAAGTATCCTATAGCCTGTCCTTATTGATTCGTTATACTCACAACTTTAAATAGTATCTTATCTCTTGTCGCAAATCTGTTATTGTTTTATTACCAACCGACTTCAAAAAAAGAGAAAGTTCTCAATTAAGAGTAGAGTTTGTTGATTATTATTATATTCAATATATAATTATAGTATTATACGCATTTCGTATATCTATGTATAATATGGACTTAGATTTTTTATTAGTATAATTAAGCATCCTTAGAAATCATCTAGGCATAGGTAATATGCAGTAAAGGCGTGAAGATTATAAGATTTGGTTCCACAAGAACAAAACCGACTGCAATAGAATCAAAAACATTTTGATTTAAAAACTAAACTACTGCATCGATTTTGATGTAACTTTTTAGAAAAAAAAACTTTCCGAATTGATCTATAAATGACGGAATTATGAGGTAACACACAAAGCAAAAATAGAATACCTTTAACAAACTAAATAAATCGGCGAAATACCAGGAATTTGTTCCACTTGTGGAACCTCCTAATATCGGAACCCAGTTTTATCCACGAAACTGTTGAATTGTTCGCAGGAACAAACAAGTGCGACAGTATTATGTTATCTTTGGTACAACTATATAAAACCTGCACAAATGCCTCTGTCTAATTCCCTACCTACATGCAGCGGGTTAGTAATGCAGATTTAACAGCCCCATCACTAGCAACATTCTCTATCAGGGCGACCTCCACGCGGTACGCTGTGAAACCATCGTGGTTTATTCTTGTTGAATACATCACGATGAGCCAACTGGCCTGCTCTTACATATCATTTCCCACGAGTGCTTCGCCAATGTATACTGATAGCACAGACGGGGTTACCATGCCATTTTCACCCATTCAAAAATCCCCGCCTGTTTTATATTAATCGTATAGTAAATCTGTTTGCCAATTTCTGCAGCTATCTACGTTGTTGTTGCCACGCTTGGTACGCGCAGTTAGGCCTTTGGTGATATATTAAGAGGGACGCTGCTGCCTAACCCTCAACTATTAAGCTCGTCCCTCCTTACGACAGCCACGTGAAAGGAAGGAATGGCCCGTAAGGAAGGGATGGCCCATTCTACGCCGAGACCTACACGGCGATGTATTTTTATATATTATTACGGCGGTTGCATAGCATACTAAAGGAATTTTCATATTTGTCTTGGTTACTTTCATTATAGCTATTGAAGGACCAATAATTTTAATTAATGCAATCCACTTTTTTTAACCGACTTCAAAAGAAAGGAACTTCTCAATTCGGTTTTTTTATATTCTTTACTTTATACATTTATCGGGTATAAAGCAATTTGGAAATTTCTTTTTTTATCTACCTGAAAGGATATACTTACAGATTGGAAACATATAAATTATATCAAAAACAGTTCAGCAGTTTAGTTTTCAAAAGTCGATTGTTTTTAGTGGAACACAATCTTAAATTATTATAGAAGTACACAAATGAAAGATAACGAAATTAAATATATTTCTCTTTAATATCTGTGCATTTATAACACGAGCATGATTATATTTACTAAACATAAAAATGAAACAAAAACTTCATTGTAAATATTTATTTATTTCAATGAAATACTCTAATTGCTTATGGTAACCAATGATACAATGTTACAATAATTGTAAACGCGTCAAATTCTCGTAATATCGCTATTTTTTGTAAACCTAGCCATTGGCATTAGTATCACCGACTCAGCCAACGACAGTGTTGCCATCATGCGAGCTTCACTTAAAAAAAACTTCCAAATCCATTAAAACTCTCGCATAAAGGCCCCTTAGAAAACTAGATAATATCTATTATCTTATATAATAATAATAAGTTTATAAAATCATTAGTCACACATTATTTACTAATTCTGATAATTATTTTGATGTGAATAATGATATTATCATTCAATATATTTTATACTCGTTCCATGATGAAAATGTATATTTGTCAAGTTGCAATTTGGTAGTAATGGTAGTTTATTTGCTAAATACCAATTTGTCTAATTGATTTTCTAGTTATACAAAGCTTTAGATTGCCATACAAAAATATTAGCCACGAAAAAATATCAACCTGTCAAATATACTATAACATACATGGAGCATACAGTAACGATTTTTATTTATACCTAAATTGTCTATACACTGAGGCACACAATTCTTAGACACTAGCTCAATTAGAATTATAAGAGCTTATTGTTCTAAGTAAAAATGTTACCCGATAACGACTTATTGTATTATGTACAGTCTGCAACAATAAAAATCGTATACTCATCAAATTTTACAGTTTTTAAATAAAAATGATTTCTTCAATTGATTGGATGGGTAACTATGACTGGATGTGAAATTTGATAAGTATACACATCGTTTTACTTTTCTAGATTATTAAACTAATACTATAGGCGGCCCCCCGACCCCACATACTGACCAGAGTCGGTTTGCTTAAAAACTATCAAAAGTATATATGACAACGTTGTTCATATAGATTAGTGTATTCCAGGAGGAATAACTGAATCATTTTATTAATAACTTACATATTTGAGATACTATCTGATGCTAGTATTTGCCTCAAATTGTATTAAAGAATTTAATACAATAATTACAAAATAATATTTTTGGTTGATAGCAATAAATGTTTCTAAGACCCCAGAATGTGTATACACTAGGGTCAATTCTAAAGCAACATTGTCTATGTCTAAAACTGAAATTAAAATTTTATATTACCGTAAAATCGCTGTTCTAGAATATTTTAATTTCTGGTTGTTCATAACATAACAATAGCTAAACCAATCAATTCAAATTCTATTTTTAGACATAGTTCTTATAAAGAAAATTCAACCAAAAATTTGATGACATTGAATTTAATATCGACGTGCTATAGGAATAAATTCTATAAACAACACAATTTTGCTGATTTATACAAATAGAATACTCAGCTTTCTAATCAAAAGGCTTCCTGAAGTGCACTATAATGCAAGAACTCTTGGAATACACCTATGTTCCTATCCTGTGCGTTGAACTACTTAGCAAGTTAACATTTGTATAATCATACATGAAACAAAACTAAATCAATTCAGTTAAGAACATATCTGGCTTCCAATAAAAGTATAATAAAAGTTTTTATTTTCAATATTCAAAGTATTCCTTCTTTTCCTCTCCTTAAATAAAGTACATTTCTACTGGATATCGTTTTTATATAAATATAAACGTATATATAACGACTCATATGAAGTTTGTATGTAAAAGTAAACATACAGTAGACTAAAAGCTTTTCAGATTATTTAAGAAAATCCTACATCAAACTAAGTTACTAAAAAAATAAAGGAATAAGACTTAGGGAGCAAAATTATATAGGACAGTCTAAATAAACAAATCAACACACAGTATATAAAAATCTCAGACACCTTTCGGTCCTACGCGGTATTGTACTAAAGACCGACATATTTAAAAAAAAAAAAAAAAAGAAAATTTAGAATTTGGATCGTGCCCAGCAATAATAAACTTACAATTTAGATTTTAAATTTGCGACATCGCAAATAGAAATATACCTCGTCTAGTAGAGCAAATTATTTTTGATCTATCATGAATTGAATGTTTCGGATTTTTATGGAAATATAACGAGATAGTATAAAGTAAACCAGTGAATAATACAAAATCATGTTGAATAATAATGTAGTCAATGCTACTAAGTCAATATTTCTCTAATAGTATAGAAAATTAATGATTTAAACTATTTAATTAAATCAAAATAACTTCGAATTAATTAAACATTTCAAATAAATAATACAGAGGGATTAGCCCTAATTATTATCCCTCTCTATTTCAAATTAACACAACTATTTACAGAACTCGGCGCAGTCAGTTATTCATAATAACAATAACTTAAAACTAATAAGCGACTAGAACTAAACAAAATACAACCTAAGCCATTTAAATTGTCATGAACTAAAACATTTCTTTTTGATCTGATTTAAGAGATAAATATACAACAAAAAAAACTTAGATAAAAAAGGTTACCAGTTGCTAAAAGTGAACTACGTCATTTCAATAGCAGTTTGTTCTTGATAAATTGAATATAAATACAAAAAAATCAGTAAACGAATTCCTTAGTAGTATAACCGTGCTATATTAGGAAGCGGGTATAAATCCTTAAGAAAAATATATTCAGTACTAAGTAAAAGAGACAATGGCTACCAACAGGAGAGACGACTCGGAAAATACTAGATCGAATGTGAAAATTATAAAAAGTATGTACTGGTACTTCAGAGATACAGTTTAACGATTAAAAAATCTTACACAAACTGCAATTAAAATTTGTATCACTTTTACCAACATATAAACATTCCAAGACTCAGAATTTAAGCCTCTCATAGTCTAACAATGCGTCTGGTAAATAAGGAAGTACCATATAATTAACAATAAAATATAATACCAATGCAACAGCATGCAATAAAATTAATATCGATAACTCTCATATACTCATCATTAGATATTTAGTTGTGCATTAATAATGTGCTGTTTACAATTTTATGTTGGCACTGAATTGTATATAGACGAACTTAATAAAAGTGACTGGTGTCGTCATCCCTGTAAATGAAACGAATGAGCACCTATTCCACAGGTATACGCGAAAAAAAAAACGCCAACTTACCATACAACCAGTAATATAGAGTAATTTTAATGTAGGTAGATAAATGATCTAATTTGAATAATCGACATACAGATTAATGATATAAAAAATAATATTCTTTAAGTTTATAGCAGTAGCACTCAATTCTATTTGACAATTTCTCCAACAGTTAAAACAGTTTTAATTTAATATTGTTACACATTTTTCTACATCATCTTGTAAGCAAATAAAGGTATAAGTAGAAAAAAACACTTTTAGAAATGCGTCAAATAATGAAATGTTATCAAAGGAATGTTATAAAAGGGAGGGCAAGGAGCATGATTACATTAACAAATATACCACGTGTGAAATTAATAACGAGGTGCAATAATCATTACTTAATTCGTGAGCCAATACTTGTATTGTGTATCATTCATACATAAGTAACCTGTGAAATAGGCCTTATAGTTTTATACCAAAATCCCTTGGAACTAATAACACGAAAGTACAGTCAAAGAAAAAAGTAAAAACAAAAAGTAAATACTATTCCTCGTTTTTGGATGGCTTGAAATTTTTGGTTATATCAAATGACAATTATATTCTAACATTTACTCTTTCCAGAATTCTTCTAATTTACTAAACATTAGAAATCGTATCACTTTAATAGCATAGGCTTATTCAAGTCTTTGTTTCAATATCTACATTAATAACTCGTGCCGATAGGTCAGGAACGAAGCGCTTTGATATGTTATGTGTAATACTTACTCAGTGTAGCCAACAATTTGAAGATTAAGGTAATGAATGTTTAAACTAAATTAAATATTGGCACCTAATAGTGAAATGGCATAAAACGTTAACACTAAATGTAAGCAAAATTATTCGAATTCAGGTTATGTATCATATTATGCTTTGTTGAATTCTAAACAAAACAAACTTATTAAGCTTGATATACAATACTGTAATATAATTCACAGGTCGCATTGACAATATTATGAAACAATTTCCCCAGCTTCATTTCTATATTAAACCAACAAATGTGGAACCAAAAAAAAAACAAAACAATCGAGAGATACCTTATAAGTCAAAAATGAATAAAACTCACAATTCAGATTGAATTTAGCATTCTAAATGAAACAAAAACTCTGAACTAAAGCAATATGACGTGCACTACTTTTTTTTTATTTTCCTGACCCCAAAATGACAATGATTAGGAAAACAAAGGTCAAGCAAATATTATAAGGAAATCTCCCAATTAAAAACCCTATACTCTAAGGGGAGAACACCTGTGGTAAAGTTTTGATACTTTCATAGTTTCATAAGTTCACCTGGATAGGTTGTAATAATAGAGAATAACTCTCAAAGCGTTGAACATAAGGCTGTCATTCCATTGCCATCGGTACGAGGACTACACTAGAGGTTCAGGCGGTGTCCGCCAGTGAGGTCGGCTCCTCGGATCAGGTCTTCCGCAACTCCACTAGCTTCACATCCTTTACGTGGAGATTGTGCTTCGATTTCGCAGCGAATTTGATCACAGCTTGCGTGGAGACGAGAGGCACGTGTCGGAGATCGAGTCTATGTGAGAATAAAAAATATGATATAAATTATAGGGAAGGTAATAATGGATAACCTAGTGTATCAAGTCTATGGTCAACGACATGCGTTGCAGAGTATAAAAATGGCGGAAATAAGTGTAACTTTGGTGAGCAGGCAATAACATACCACCTAAAGGTCCTGCTGCAGCATTATGTGTCGTATACTAAAGTGTTCTCTTTTCAATGGATAATAATGGAATGGAAACCCCGCCTGCGCTATCGATATACGCTGACGGGGTATCAGTGTGGGATAATAGGGGAGATGAAAGAGCAGGTCAGTTAGCCCATTGTGATGAATACATTTGGAATCCAGCACGATGATTTCCAAGGGCGAGTACGTGGTCGTAACGTACGTGAGTCGACTTGACAAGGTATACTGTTAGCATTGGGACCCTCCCCCCCCCCCTGTGTTGCAAGTGGTAGTTTTCAAGTAGCAATAATCGCAGCTCAGATTAACGTCATTGGTAGTGATATTGTCTCTAGGCAAAGTGAAGTGGTGGTTACCTGACGAGGTTGGGGCAGCGCGCGAGGTGGTCGAGCGCGGCCTCGGTGAGCAGGCGGCAGCCGGCCAGCGACAGGCGCTGCAGCGCGTGGTGCGCCAGCTGCGCCGCGCCCGCGTCCGTCAGCCGCGCGCACGACGACGCGTCCAGCTCGCACAGCTTCGGCAGCGCCTGCCGCCACAACATACAAACAGTTATTATGATAGATAGATAGATAATTTATTTACATTACTTACAGCACACAAATTACAATAATAAAAAATATACACATAATACACAGTAAAAGAGATAAAAGAATGAAAATAAAAAAGCACAAATAAAAAAAAAACAAAATATATAAACTAACAATCTCCTTTCTTTCCCTTCCTTCATGCGTGTGCCATAGTAACACAAAATGGCCACAACTCAGTTTATTGCTTTGCCCTTAAAAGAGCAAAACACTGATGTTCTGTTGTGGCCAAATTATTATATATTATTATAAATAAGAGACAATTTCAAGAAACGCGACTAACGCTGCTGGCTGTCAATGACCAGATAGGATTTACAGAAATTAAAAAGATAATCAATTTGGCACGATATCGTATAACATACACATAAAAATCTTATGAGTTTCTTTTATATAATAGAATGATATTGATATATGCTTGAGAGGTATCAGTGAGGGATGATACATAAAGATAAAATCAGATCAATTGGTCCATTGTGACAATATAACTAGGAATTAATCATAATAGTTAATAGGAACTGACTTGGTGAGTTACATTGCTTGTAACCATCTCTTGAAGTCCCATGAGTAGTCATAATCTACAATGATTTACCTCTTGATTATGGTTGGATTTTGTCATCATAAACCATATATTATAGTGTGCATATGGAAATGCTTGGTCTCACCTGCACCACGTATCTCATGGCGACGTCCGTGATATCAGTGCCGGGAAGCCGTAACACAGTGAGTGCAGCAAGCCGCGACGGTTCTGCGCCGGTGCGAGCGCCACCACCGGGCCGCGAGTTCTCTGGCGGCGCGAGGATGCCACGTAACTTAGCGTCATCCAGACACCGCGCGAACGACAGATCCAGCGATGTTAGTGGCGGGCAACTTGATGATCGTAGAGCCAATGCAGCTTCCGCCGGTGATCCCGCCAACGACAATGACCGCAACGCTGGCAGACGGGCCAGTAACCTGGACAAAACGATTACAGGACATATATTTCCATACTTTTATCTATTCAAAAGGTTTTGGCTATACTGAAGCAACACAGATTATACAGCGAAGCTTAGTACAGGAACCGAGCCAATATGATAGCGTTTTATGATATATTAAATTTAATTTCGTAATTTTGTAAAATTTATAAGCAAGAGCGCGTATTAAAATGTACAAAGACGCGTCTACATTCCAAATGATGTTCTTAACTTGCGCCACTCCAAGCTAGCTGCACGCATACGCTAGAAGGTGCATGTGGCATGCTAGTTTGAAATGTGTTTGACAAGTATTTAAAAATTTGAGATATCTAACTAGCTCGTACCCGCGACTGCATCCACGTGAACGCGATATTTTCACGGACTGGGATAAAAAGTATAGCCTATAATCTTCTCCATGCATGCAAATACATATATACCAAATTTCGTAGTGATTAATTGAGCCATTAAAATGCTAAAATGTAACAAACAAACTCAGTGAGCAGTGTGTGGTAGTGCTGGCGGCGGCGGTGATAGTGGTGGTACTAACCATGCGAGCTGCCTGCGTGCCAGGTGGCACCACTCGAGGCCGAGCGACAGCGGCTGGCGGCGCGCGATGCCGGCTAGCTGCGCGGCCGACACGCGGACCTGCACGAACGACATGCTGCGCCACAGCGACGGGTCCATCTGCACAATCGATATTACATATTCAATTATTATCATTACAACATGGTTTATCACGAATTTGTAAGTTTTCATGATGCTTCAATTTGTAAATGAAGTTTTAAGATAATTACACTGTTTTAGACTTTTAGTAACAGTACTGAATAAAGAGTACCCAACCGAGTTCTTGCATCTGCAATATGACCCCCACATGCTCATAATGCATGCTAATTAGACGGAAGCTATAAATAGTTCAAAGCATTTATGTGAATATTTTAAAATTTGTGTGATACATTTTCCACATAAGTTTATTTTTTCCTTATAGAAAATTTTAGCAAATAATAATTTTAAAAATAAATACTATGCATACTGTGCAACGTCATCTAGTCCCAACCTAAACAGGTCTTGTCTTCTATGGGTACTAGACAACTGACATACATAAATACATACTTTATAAATGCATATATATTATATATACAGAAAACAGAACAATACAAACAGATATACTCATAAATAAAAATGTATTGTGCAGGAATCAAATTCGCAACCAGAACGTGAGACAGTGTTATATAATCAAGGTCACCTTAATTAATATTCCGTTCTCGTTGACTACCGCCATGAAAGGACTTTATGTTTAAGGAATCAAGAAACAAATAATTGCCAACATCTATAATCATGCCTTTGAATGTAAATGAACAAATAGGCTTATAAAGAACCGCCGCAGCACTTAATATGTGACTGTATCCCACTCATACATAAACGATATATCTCCTTTGGAGATCCTATCCTCCTCTATATCCTGAGGAGATAAAAAATATCGCTATAAAAAACATCTTTAAATTCCTATTATCGATAGGAATTAGTAGCGAACTTTAAAAAAGAGCGCGCACAAAGACCATGGAAAGATCGCAGTGTCACAGGTTATTCTGCTTGAAAAACCCCGTCTTTCAATAATAATAAGAAATAAGCATATAAAAGAATGTGTACTAACGGAGTACTCAGCCCAGGCTTTGCAGACGAGCGCACACGTGGCCAGCTCGGCGGGTAGCAGTTTGGCGAAGACACGCAGCATGGCCTCGCGGTCGAGCCAAGGCGACCCAGTGTTGGTCACCGCCGCACCCACCGGCGGCGCCGGCCGCACCGGGTACAGCGGCTTCTTTAATATCTGCAACAGTAGAACATAAGTTATTCCTTGACCATAGAAAAAAATTGCCGCAACTAAGTGTCGTCAAGTGGCAACCCTTACTTGCAGTTATTATTATTTTTTAATTAAGCCTATGTTAATATATAGATAAAAAAAATAACTTTCGTTTGGTGTAAAAGTTATCAAAAATCATGATGAGAAATTTGATAACATTATCATACATATTTTCACCTGGCAACCCTAGGTTGCAGCTAATTGGGAGCATGCAATCCGGGTACATTGTGTTATATTTTGCTTACCTTTCATTAAATTTTCTTTAACAAAATTTCCTTAAAAAGCCTGCAGAAGTCAGCAGCGGAATATAATACAATATTATATTTTTGTTTGCGTTTCATTTAAACTAAGATTCATTAAAAAGTCTTATGCCTTCAAATATATAACTACAAAAGCTAACAGTACGTCAGCAACAAAGGGACGCCTTAGTAGGATATGGAATTAATAAATGGAAATAATGGTCACCTTAGCAGTGTGATGTGTAAGTTGCAGAGCATGGTGAGTCCTGAGGGCCTGCTTCTTGGGTGCGTCGTCTTCGTCGGAGGGCCGCCGCTTCTTAGCGGCCGGCTCCCACGCTCCGCCTTCACCGCCCTCCGCGCCTTCGCCCCCGGAACCTGAGTCTTCACGTTTTATATCTGCAATTACAGGATATTAATAGATAAATCACTTCAATAAAAGGGGGCATTACTTTTTATTTTATGATATATGCAATATCTTCGCTAGTGTTAATGGAAGTTAAAAATAAAGAAAAAATAAATCCTACTAATATTATAAATGACATAGTTTACAAAAATATTTGTATATTTGTTACCCAATCATGCTTAAATGGAAATTAACTAAATTGCAACACAAGTACGATAAACAATGAGAGGCTAAACGCGGAAAATAGTCCAATTTACAATTTCATTTTTACAAGTAGGTTAAACACTAACTTAAAACATAGGACAAAACCGCGAGAAACAGCTGGTATTATAAAAAAATTACAAATTTACAAAAATTTACTCACCATCTTCAGTTTTGATATGTGGCACCTCATTCTTTCCCTCGCTGTCTGATCCCGCTTCCGACTTAACGGTCAAAGGCGGTGGTGGTGGAGGTAGTTTATTCTGAATAAGAAATAATAATAACAATTTATATCTTCAGCTTATTAGGAGTACAAATAAGTTTCCGCCGTTTTTTAACACAAATTAAATATTTATTATAGAAGAACGGTAATATAGATTTATATAAAATATTGCCCATCACTTGCAACCACTTTTTCCCATCTCTCAGGCAGCATTCGAATTCCACGTCTGAAGAACTCCTTGTCTTTTGAGGCTATCCACGAATCAACCCAATTTTTGGTATCCTCATAAGATGTAAACCGCTGCGTCGTCAGAGCATGTGCCATGGACCGAAACAGGTGATAATCGGACGGTGCAATGTCTGGTGAATACGGCGGGTGGGGTAACACTTCCCAATCAAGTGTTTCCAAGTACTTTTTTACGGGAGCCGCAACATGTGGACGAGCATTGTCATGCAGAAGAATAATTTTTTCGTGTCTAGAATAGTATTGAGGGCGTTTTTCTTTCAGAGCTCGGCTCAATCTCATCAATTGTGTTCGATAGAGGGCTCCAGTAATTGTTTCGCTCGGATTAAGCAACTCATAATACACTACACCTAGCTGATCCCACCAAATACACAGCATAAGTTTTTTTCCGTGAATATTCGGTTTTGCTGTTGATGTTGACGCGTGGCCAGGTAATCCCCATGATTTTTTCTTTTTGGATTGTCATAATGTATCCACTTCTCATCACCAGTTACGATACGATGTAAAAAACCCTTTTTTTATGTCTAGCTAGCAGCATTTCACTTAAGCATAATCGGCGTTCAATATCTCTCGGCTTTAATTCGTACGGAACCCAATTTCCTTGTTTATGAATCATTCCTAATGATTTTAAACGATGTGAGACTGCTTGCTGAGTGACTTCTAATGTTAGAGCAAGTTCTTTTTGTGTTTGAGATGAATCCTCCTCCAATAATTCCTCCAATTCTGCATCCTCGTAAATTTTTGGCCTTCCACTGCGATCTTTGTCTTCTACGTCGAAATCACCGTTTTTAAACTTTTGAAACCACTCTCGACACGTTCTCTCACTCAAAGCACCCTCACCATATGCTTCTACGAGCAATTGATGCGCCTTAGCAGCAGATTTCTTTAAATTAAAGAAGTAAATTAATATTTCCCGCAAATGACGCTTATTTGGCTCAAATTTTGACATTTTCAAGTTATAAAAATTATATTTTACCAATATCAAATCAATAATATTAATAGGTTATGTTGGTCTTGAATGTCGAAACTATTTTTTAAGCCGGTTATCATCTGCGAAAGCTAACCGAAACTCCGTGCCGCGCCATCCACAATAAAACGGCGGAAACTTATTTGTACTCCTAATATAATCCTGACGTGCAACTGGCTGGGCGCAAATGAGAAACTTTTTTTTTTTTAATATTTACTAAACGTTATCACATTGCAATAGGCATGATGGCAGATTTTGAAATCACCTTTTATAATGTCTTACGTCTATTTCCAAAATAAAAGATAAAAAAATAAATTCTATTTCAGCAATAAACAATAAACTAAGAATTAAATAAAAATTAAAGCAAATTATTAATGAATTTCTTTCATCTATTTGGAAAAAAAAAAGATCGTGGAGTCATTTTAAGCTTTCGTTATGATGTCACGTCTTGGTAAACTGCATTATGCAATCAAGAAATTCAACAAGATAATATTTATTTCATAAGTTAAAATTAATCTCAAACTATTTTTTTTTATACAATTTAAAATGGCAAACAAGCTGACAGTCCACCTGATGGAAAGTGGTAACCGTCGCCTATAGACATGAACAGTACCATGGACATAACAGAGTATACTGTTTCGCCCATGATGCCCCCCATGCGTTGCCATTCCTGAGGACTCAGGTGTTATTCCTCTGTACCCAGTAAATTCACGCCATATCCCACCCTTCAAACCGAAACACAGCCTTGCAAACACAACTGCTTCACGGATGAAACACGAATGGGACAGAGGTACTCAAGCAATCGACTTTTGTACAAACTCTCCCTCTGGTAAATATATAATCCAGAAATCAATCGAAACGTAATCACAAAAAAGTGCAAGGACACGGTGACGGATAGATTGATATGTACTAAAACATTACGTTATTCACTCTGATCCGTGTTTTATTTAACATGGCCGATTACAGAATTTTATATATTTATTTTATTAAAAAACTTACTAATCTTAATATTTTTATAAAAACTCAGTTTTTAGATTTGTTTTAAACATACTTTTACTTGCTAAAACTATTTATTGATTATTTAATACTGTCATCATGCCTATTCTATGAGTGATTTTATGGTTTCTCGTAACAGGACGGTGTGATCTCATTATCACAAACAATCCTCATAAAATAAAATGTGTATTTCAATACACAGAATTACAGATCAAATACATTGTAAAAGTGATTGAAAAAGCTAAGTAATTTTCTTAATTTGCTCTTTATTCACATCATAATAAGATCCATTCTGTATATTCTACTGTGTTTAATAATAAATATATTGCTGACGTAGTATTAACGGACTAGCACGAGTTTATCAACATGTTCTAAGAACTAAATCGTAATATGATCCGTACAAAGCAGCGTATGCAATGAACGTCGCTTTGGAATATTAAGTTACCAATCTGATGTTTACCTGCAAATTGCCGTGATGCTGACTGAGTTGGCTGACATCTGAGCCGACACTCACACGTCTGAGATCAGAAGACTTTTGACGCGCGCGGAAATGACGAGGCTGAAATCATATTACATTTATGTATTTTTTCATATGCAGTATTTTATTGTTATGGCAAAATATTTAACATAACGACATTCTTCACATCAAGAACAATAATTTAAAACAACATAAATATCATACGGTTCTCATTGCTAGCAATATATCCTGTCAAGTCGACCTCCACGCAGTACCCCCTGATAATCTCAATAGTTAATTCACCACGATGACAATGACATCCTTATGTTAGATCACTCATTAACATATACTGATAATGCAAGAGGATTACTACGCCATTTTCGCTCAATTAAATAACATAAGTGTTCCTCTCAAAACATCACCAAAGTCTAACTGCGGTTGGTAACCCGCCTGTCAATAATAGCAACTATTAACACTATGTTCAGTAGCAAATAGGTAACAGCTGATATGATGTTAATGTAATAAGATTATCTCTATCTTGTTAGGAATAAAATTCATGAATACATTTTATATATGTGTGTACCTTATAATCATGGTTAAGTCCCATGGTGGTGCAGGTAGGGCACTCCCAGGAGTTGGGCAGGTCCTCGTTGAGCTGTCCGCCGGGGGGCACGCAGCCCGGGTGCACGATGCTGTAGCACACCGAGCACTCGCGCAACGACGATGGACCGTTACGTCCTAAATAACAATATAATTTCTTAAGGCAAATCCAAAGCAAACTTGCTTCATTAGAAATTGTTCTTAAAATGGGTCAATAACTAGACTCAATAACACTCAATTACAAATATTAACAGTAACACCCAAATATGTACTTGGAAATATTTTGTAATGAATAATCTTTATTACCGAATATATGTTTGTTGAAACATTGTAATTTCACTACATTGTAACTTTTCCTCTTTACGATCGATGTTGTTTTAATTGTTTCTTGCAACAAAATATATTTTATGTATAAAATGTGTTTTAATTTAACAATTAACACCATCTAATGTCATGGTATAGAAAAGTATTGTGACGATGGTATTCATACACCAAACAAAAGGAATACTCTGTGTTTTATTAGATATATACAAATAAACCAATTGTAAAATTAATCAGTGTTTTTTATTCTACTAACTATGATCCACGCTCTCAACTACTAACTAGTTACCCGTATAATTATGCTTTGGAGTTTCCCAGATTCAACACAAAACGTGCATTTTAAGAAATAACCTTTTAAAAAAGAATATATATTTACTGGTATTCGTTATATAAACCCAAATGAACTAACAAATATAATATACAAAAATATTAAGTGGACACAATTTAGAATACGCAATAAATGCGAGAAAAATGTATTACTTCCTCATGTTCCACTGGTTTCAAGACTATTTAATTTCTTTTCAGGAATGGTACCGAATTTGATACTATTACAATCAAATTCACGTATTTATCAAAGTATAAAGCGTCACACAAACAAATAAAACAAAAGAAAAAAGCAGAAAAACAACAAATATTATACCATTATACATAAACATACATAATAAAATTGTTGATCAGTATGAATATGAGATGACAATTATGTTGAAGAAGTTGATCAGTATGAAAAAAAAATTAAATATATAATTTTTAAGCGATTACCAGAATAAGGAGGTTCTCATATAGTCTGTTTTTTTTTTCTTCTTTTTATTAGAAGTGTAGGATGCATAGCAAATAAAATATCCTGTGACATGATGCTAAAGCAGTTGTTACTGTGGTTAATTAGATACGATTTCTAACTGTGCGCATATATAATAACTGTCTATGAAAATAAATATTAAGAGTGTTCATAACTTTTGCTTACCAATGTGTGCTAAGATTGCAAATTATGAATCATTTTTCAAAAACAATTGAACAATTTTCAATGTTTCTAACTGATTATTTAAAAAGTACTCAAATAGCGAACTAAAATGTAAATTATAGAATATAGGGCATAAATTGACTACTTAAAACTTTGCATCTATTTCATATTTAGCTTTGGAACTTTTCAAATATATTTTTGCCATCAAATTAAAATCCAATTTTTCAGTGATCAAATACATTTTTGCCATCAAAATCCAAATTTTTACAGACAGCTTAACAATATGCATTGCATGAGAAAGTGAATGTTCCTTAAGATATTTAGAATAAAATACCATTATATTTTTCCACCGTCGGTACAAACTACGCAGTTATTGCTTTAGTGCAAAAAATTCAAATATTAATAATGGTGAAAAGGCTTATAACGTCTTTTACTAAATAATATATTAAACCCATAACATAAATATACGCACAGTCTAATACTATTCTATATTCGGGAGCAATACATGAGCGTGGTTAGTATTATCAGTCACATATGATGTTTATGAGTTAGTTACCAGAGTTACCCTTTGCCTGCGGCGCGACCGGCGTCTGCATCCACCCGTCCAGGTGGCAAACTGCACATGACGCTGTTACCGGCAACATGGGCTGTGAATATACAAATATTTATTTATTACATTAAGTTAGTAACAGTTGGTAAACAGAAACAGATCTATCATGGAGCCTGTAGAGCACAGCAAGTAGGGGCATAGCAATATTAATCTTATTAAATAGACAGATGTCCTGTCCAAAGTAGTCCAAATCGGTCTTGTTATTCTCTAGCAATTTAGTGATCTCTACCAAAAAAAAATTAAATTATTTTGCCTCAACCACAATACAATAATATACCTACACTTAAAATATAATTATCATCGTCCCTGAAGTAGCCCTCTCCCTCATCTTAACGCTCGAAGAACAAGGAGGCGCTAGCACTCTTATTACTATCAATACTACGGTTGAACCTCCCCGCTGTCCCCCTGGAAACCACCGTGTATAATTCCCGACAAATTTATCTTTATTCCCCACTAGTACTCCTTTAAACTAACAGCGCAAGTAGAGTTAACTTTCCTTTATCATTAATTAAAAAAAACCTACATCTCTTCTTAAAGGATGTAATGTAAGTAGATATATAACTGAGCCGTAAATAGAACTCTGTAGGTACCTGCAAGCACTGTCGCATGACGCACGTCTGTTTTGCTCGACCGAGTCCACCAAACTTGACCATGTCGTGGCAGAACACGCACTCGCCACAGTCTGTACGTTGGCATGCCTCGCATTTCTTGCATCTGTAATGTCAATATATTTTTCATTGTAGTATATGAAATTTACGGTATGTATAGGTGATTTTTCTGCAGCAAATCCCCCAAGCCGATATAAGAGCAGGATTATATCTAGCTATTTTGGGATTCTGGACAAAAATTAACCACATTTTACGACTATAAATTTTTTTTTTTTCAGATAGTAACCTGCTAAATGGAACCCCGCATGAAACCAGTTTAATTTAATATAGTAGTTTTTTTTATTATTATATAATACTAGCGATCCAGTAGGGCTTCACATAAGTAGAAAAAAATTTCGAAAAAATATATAACCTATTACTCACCAATAATTCAGAATTCTAGAGGTATCAAAATTTAAAAAATCGGCTATATACCTTTTATATTTATCAATTACAAACAAACAAATCTTTTTTCCTCTTAATAATATTAGTATACAAGTATACATTATTCAAAATACTTTGTTTCAAACTCTATTGTAAAATTAATTATTAAATAATATAATATATATAATTATAATAATACTAATATAATATAATTATAATAATATTATTATAATTTGTTGTTTTGAGAAACTTCTTAAGATCTATCTATACTGATTAGTGTTGACCCATTCAATCCCAGGTAGTGTTTGGTAAGAGACAACATATATACCTGGTGCGCCTGCGACGGGGTGCATTATTTGCGTGTTCGGGTCGAGGCCGGGCCGGACCACCACGGCCAGCACCACCGCGACCTCCACGTCCGCTCGACTGCCGCCTCTCCGACCCTGGCGTCTCCTCAGGACCTACAACGGAATAATACTATTAGATTGAGTAATGACAAAATAATAAAATAGTTACAATCTATAAAATAGATATTAGACAATTGCAGTAAAATAATTTACTTTTAGCTTTGTAACTGGTGTACCTCAGGGTTCAAGTCTTAGGCCCGTTCTTTTTTAATATTTCTTTAAATAGTGATACAATATTGTATTCAGAAATGGAAGACTCTGTTAGTAATTAAAAGATTCTTCGCCAAGAATATACACTGTCAGTTCGACCTCCACGTCGTTCCCCCTGATAACCATCGTGGTTACTTTCTGGTTCACCCTTCAGATGAGGTGATATTTGAATAGAGGTACAACGTCGAAATACAGTTTATATTAGAGACACCCTTTATATGTAAACCCAATAGTAGAGACCAATAGCCAGTAGAACAAGGATGCTTAAAATAAGGATATGCTATAAAGATGTTCAAATAACCTTTGAGTACAGGCACACCAGTGACCGCAAGGTGTTGTTTGTCGTGACGATGCTGTTCGACCAGTGTGCGTACATCACGCACAAGAGCGATCGGATCCGACAAAAGTTCTGGTACAGACTTGCGCGCAGCCGGCAACTGATGCAGGTACATTACTATCGCCTGAAAAACATGCATCCACCATGTTAATTACTAGATAATACTGGCCCTCCAGTGTGTGGAGAATAGTTTGCACTCAAAATTAGCTTATTTAGTACAACACTCAGGGTGTGTTCAAGTAAATAACGTAGAAATGTAGCGTCAGCATATACTTTGCAATCAGTAAGCAAGAAGCTTCTACCGTGAAGCAGTTGTGTTTGCATGGCTGTGTTTCGGTTTGAAGGGTGAGATATGGCGTGAATTTACAGGGTACAGAGGAATAACACCTGAGTCCTCAGGAATGGCAACGCAAGGGGGGTATCATAGGCGAAACAGTATGTGTGTGTACTGTTATGTCCATGGTACTGATCATGTCTATAGACGACGGTTACCCCTTTCCATCAGGTGGGCCGTCAGCTTGTTTGTTATTCTAAGTTGTATAAAAAAAAAATAACGGCACGCGTACTAGTATCATTTTACTAGTAGTAGTATGCATTAGATTCATAAACACAATATCACAAAAACTCTTTCAAATTACGTTCTTCAATTTTACAAATACTTTCGTTTAATTTTGATTTGTTATATCGTACCTCAAGAATGAGCGATGCAATAACGCGCTCATATACCAATCCAGTACCATAAAATAAATAACAATACAAATACTTAGGTGACTAACTGACCTTAAGTCCGTGGAGTTCATTCTGTGTGAGATGGACATGTTCGGCAGGAGCGGCGAGCGGGGCGGCCAGCGGAGAATTGAGCGGCGCAGCTTGCCCCTCGAGGGTCAAGTGTGAGCGGCCCAGCAACGCGCTAACATATCGGTCCAGCACATACCATAGCATTTCCGTGAAGAACGGGTAGCGGAACTTTTGAGGGACCTGCAATGTTTGATAATAGACAATTTTAGATTTTTTTTACAAGCATATGGTAATTTATGGTGGTAAGTATTTATGTTTTTTACATATACAGTAAAAGCGAAATCAAATTTGTAGTTTTTCAACCATTTCGTTTGGCAAATTTCGCATAAAATTCATTTCACATGGCATTAGAATGAGCCACCTCTTCTTTTTCCGTGGGTGTCGTATTAGACGACTAAGGGATATTAATATGATTTAAATAAATTTGTACCTTAGTGACATCTTCCACTTGGGCTATTTTCAACTGTTTCTCGATCCCAAACTGGTGCAAAAAGTTGCCACCAAAAACGAGGGAGTCGCTAGGAGTGTACACAGCGTGGATCCAGCCGGTCGGGATGAAAAATGTATAGCCGGCTTGCAACTGCAATATTGTTATAAAAATAATAAAATCACGTCATCTAAAATTATAAATAAGAAACATTTAATATCTTTGATTGTAACAGAAAAACTCAAAAATATTTAACTCGTTCTAAATATTCATTCGCTTATTAAAGCTATATTATTATCGACTAATATAGACTGATATTTTTTTATAATTTACTAATTTATATTTCTTCCTATCTAGCCGTGCGAAGCCGGGACACATCTCTAATAATTAATTATACTTCTCCAATCAGTATGATCACATCTCTCTCAAACGAAACTTTAATCAAAGACAACACGACGAACGCTGCAGCGATATGATAGTAAACACCATTAAACTAGCCCGATAGATGGCGGTAGCCTTGCATCCTATTCTGTTAAATGGTAAGTTCATCATAACGCCGACTTTTAACATACTTTTAACCAAGGGGTTAGTGACAGAGATTACTGGCTCCATTTGCTTGTAATTATAGGTGCCCTATTTGGTCGACCAGCACGCGGTCCACCATTGAAAACCATAATTCATTCCTAGTAAATAAATCATGATGGACAAACTAATCTGGGGGCCTCCCATGAAATGAAATTCCGAAATTACGGACTCCATTTCGTGTTTTTGTTCATACCTAAATCGGCCCAGAAAATGGAGCATAACATTTCGTTCATCATATGGCCTTCCATAAAAATCCAAAGAAATAATATTTTTAATGTTTTTAAACGATAAGTATTATGTAATTTTAACATCAAATTTGTATTTCGTTCGGCTCCGAAATTTCGGTAAACATTTCATGGTAGGCCCTCTGATTTCATCCCTCACTGGTAACCCGCCATTATGATGGCGATAACCAATATCGGAGTTACCATTCCATTTCCATCTCATAAAAATACCAAGTTCAGTACAACAGTGCCTTAGTCACCAGTCGATTAGTGCCTATGATTATCGTATTTGGAATTACAGTTTTATATATTTCAAGTAAACTTGTAAACATTAAAAAGTTAAATCTTGTAAACATTAAATATACTCACATGAACTCTAATACATTTTTCAACCGTATCCCCGAAGAAGACGTCCGATTGTTTACCAGACAACACCCACTTTTCATACAACTGCAGATTCTTTTCAGTGGGCGGAATAAGCCAGAATACTTTTGCTCCTGAAACAAAAATATCTTAATATACAAAAATCCCGTGTCACGATGTTCGTTCACGCTAATCTGCGAAACTGCTCAACCGATTTTAATGAAATTTTGTAAATAATCCAATATTATTTGCTCCAACTTGTGAGATAAGACAGTTGTTAAGATAGAAAGAAATAGCCCTTGCAGGTGGCAAAACATCTACAGTATTTGTTAGTATTATTTAATGCATTCATCTACATCAGTGATTCTCAACTTTTTTTTTTTTGTTGCGGCACATATTTAACGATTTCAAAATTTGGCGGCACACTTTTAAAATTTGGCGGCACACAAAAGTGCCGCGGCACAGTGGTTGAGAATCACTGATCTACATAATATAAAGTTGTCACAATGTTCTTATGAGGTGTAAGTACATGAAACCTGTTTGGGTATAGCAAAATTTAATCGATAGGCAGCTAATACATGTGCATCAATGTCAATTTAGACGTTAGATTATATTTAATTACTTTTACAAATAATTGCTAGTTTTTATATAGATTATTAATATCTATATAGGTTATAATTATTATTATTAATTTATTTTTATTAATGGCAAACAAGCTAATGACTCATTCGATATCTCTTTTTTTTACGAATATAATCATGATTAGAGAGACCATACATGATCCGAATGTGGGGCTATATAATACTACATCATAATAGACACTTACCTCTCAAAATATGGTACCATACAGAGGTACCACCGAAGTCAATGTGGAAGTCTGTGTAGCATCCTTTAACAGACATCAGGCAATATTTCTGTACCTTAGGGTACATCATGTCGTCCAGAGCATTGGTCGATTCAGTCTAGAAAAATAATATTGAAAATAATATCAAATAGTCTCTACTTGACCATGATAGAACACGCAAGTGCCACTAAAACTTTATTTATCAAAAAAAAAAAAACTGAACAAAATCTTGGTATTACATTCTCCAATGATCACCAAGCACATTGAAAAATTCCTATTGTCTATTGTATTTAATAGTTTTTTTTTTTTTTATAGGAAATTATAATATTGGTCATCACTGATGGTATAATTACATCATTTCAAATCATTATCAAAAAATAAAGCATAATAAGCTACAGTGGAGTTGAGATCTCCATCACTTCTGCTTCAGAAACTCTTGGCGCCAGAACGCGATTCCGTCACATTAATAGTAATACATGATAGAGATAATTAATGAATTAAATAAATAGCCAACCTGTTGATCCTTTAAGTGCCGCGGCCATACTGTCTCAACCCAGTCGACCTGCCGGACTATACGGGGCGCCTGCACATAGTTCTCGAGGCGCGTGTGCGAGAACTCTAACGATATTACGTTCAGAAGCCTCTCCTTATTCGGATCATCATAATAACGTTGCCAGTCCTAACGAAGAAAAAAAATATTTCAATCGAAACTCAAATGACTTATAACAATTATGTTCTATTAACATTACATCACGACACATCTTTTCTTTTTATTTTAGATATATATATTGTTCCTTTTTTATTTTATTCTTTACTATTTTGACATATTTTTCAATTTGATACTGTCTTTAGTTATTATATACTAGCTTATACCCGCGACTTCGTCCGTGACTGGAATAAAAAAAACCGTTAAAGTACTATAAGGTAACAAACAAACTCACTTTCATATTTGTAATATCAGTAAAGATCTACCGTAAATAGTAAAAGAACGTATTTCATTTACATAAAAAACAACAGTTTTTTTTATTACATCATTAGTTAAAAGACATATTGATTGATATGCTTGATGATTAAAATTAATTACTTATATTTAAGGTGACTAACACGCGATGTAGCGCAAGGCGACGCGGCAATGCGCAAGCGAGTTCAAAAGTTTCTTTACACACGATAGCAAGTTAACTGCATAAAGCCGCGCGGCGACAACGTGTTATAACCTGAGCTAGGTTTTACTTATTAAAAAAAAAAAAAATTATTGAATTCACTTTCAATTTGAATCGTTCTAAATCTCACGTAACAGGGTTGTGACGCGATTTTTTTCCTTCATATCGCAAAGGCAATGCACTGTAATATTGTAAAAAAAAAAACCTTTTGTATCGCTTCGCATTAATCATTTGCTATAATTGTTATTTTTATAACTGGTGCAATAAAGTGTAAATAAATGAATAACCTTGGAAACGGCATTTTGATGGTTGACCGCGTACATCTCCTAACCAGCACGATATAGACAATTTGACCGAAGATACAGAAAACATATTAAACCCGTATTAATACCAAATATGAAGAAACCAAAATATAAAAGTTTTAAAGTAAAAATTATTTCCCATAGATATATTATATAACATAGAAAAAAAATATTTGAATTGTAAAAAAAAGTCATTATTTACATAACAAAATTATTTTATAAATATCAATTATGAGATATTGGTGGTTAATCGATTTAAAACTTTTCTACTAATACCGAGAACAATCAGTAATCAAGGTAGTACCTTCATGGTCATCTCGATATTTTTCTGTGTGTTGACATCCATGACGTCGAGCAGACGCCTCGAGCCGACGCACATGCGCACATCGTTCACTGTGAAGTTGCTCGTTGGCACTCTGAAAGCGGGAAATGCATTACAGCACCACAACAACAAGATGATGACTTCGTTGAATAATTCCAATTCAAGTTATCGTCATCAGCATATCGACCGTTATCTGTTTACTGCTAAACATAGACCTCCCCCATATACTGCCATAAGAAACGATCCTGAGCTACTTGCATCAACTGACTCCTTTTAATGCATTTGGGGATGTCACTCCATGCAATGGGGAATTTTCCTAAACTGCATTTGGCCGCACGGAATCGCCACTCAAGAACCTTTCTTCCCAATGGGTTGTCAGTTCTTCGACCTATGTGACCAGCCTATTGCTACCTCAGCTTCCTTATTATTTTCAGTCATTAACTGTCCACTGCTGTTACAGGAACATAAGCCTTCCCCATAAGGGGAGTTTTGCCAATAATAACCACGCTTGGCAGGCGAATTGCTGTAGTTGCCAAACTGCAGTCAGGCTTTTAGGGATATTTTAAGAGGGACGCTGCTGCCCATCCCTCCACCGTAAGTTCCCTTAGTCGCCCCATACGACACAGGTTGCTTATTATATTAAAATTATAATAAACATTATTTTAATAGCTGGCTTCACCCCCGACTTCATCCGCGTGACTGGGACAAAAAGTAATCTATGTCATTTTATGTTTCAAATACTATATGTATGCAAAATTTCATTACTACCAATGTAAGTCGACATTTTAGTGATCAAAATCTCGAAATGCTTGTTATTTTAAAACGTTAATAAATCGATTTATTGCATTTACATCGAAATTCCAGTTATCGAGGTCCTACTGTATTAGTAGGATTGTATTACGTAACAACATACATATAGATCTTAGATTGTATAGATAGAATGTCTTCATAGGAATGATTCGTGTTTCTACCGTGAAGCAGTTGTGTTTGCATGACTGTGTTTCGATTTGAAGGTCAGGAATGACAACGCCGGGGAGGTAAAATTCACAAATGTGATGAGGTATCATGGGCGAAACAGTATATTCTGTTATGTCCATGGTACTGCTCATGTCTATAAGCGACGGTTACCACTTTCCATCAGGTAAGCCGTCAGCTTGTTTGTCATTGTAAGTTACATAAAAAATACAATTTTGCATGATAAATAGTTAAGAATAACTCCTTTATAACTTCTATATTTATTTTGTCTTATAATTTATGCAACTTTTTAATACGTAAACACTAATTTTATTTATTAAATAATGAGTCAAGATTCATTTTATGCGTAATTATATAGAACAATGATAAAAAATAACAAGTCAGCTAATTTGACAATTAGCTGACAAAAAGTTGAGCCGTTTTTGAGGCTCGACGCTCTATCTATATAATCTAAGATTTAGATTTATAACAATAACAACAAATATAAGTAACATCATGTAAGACTATGTTCGATAGACGAAATACCTACCAACTTAGAAGTGATATCGTTTCGCATTGTAAGCAACATTTACTAGGGTAACATAAACATAAGTTGTTCGATATTATATTTTTTCACATTATGATTAATATACACGTAATGCGATAGTTCTATGTAATAGGTATCTCGACGTAGCATTTATGTGGTTTACAGTAACTTATCATGCGTTGTTTATGGATGATAATGGAATGGCAACCCCACCTGCACTAATAGTATACACTGGCGGGGCACCAGTGAGGGACGATAGGTGAGGATGAAAATGCAAAGTCAGTTACTCCAACATGATGTATACACTTGAAATTCAGCATGATAGTTTCCAGAGGGGACCACGTGGAGGTCAAACTGCCTGAGAACATTGGTAGCTATGCGACTGGTAATTTGCAATACTAATAATTCCTTCTCCCACTTATTATACGTTACCCAGTTATAGAAATTAATATCAATGATCAAGTCAATCTCATGGTTCATTCATTAGTGATAAATACCCTTAAATAGGGGGGAAAGGGATTGTTAGTAATGGAGACTGAGAATCTGGCGGGGCACCAGAGGGGTGATAGGTGAATAATGAAATAAGGCAGGTCAGTCAACCCATCGTGATGAATACACATGGAACTCAGCACGATGGTTTCCAGGGGGAACCGCGTGGAGGTCGACCTGACAGGGTATGCTAGCAATGGGACTGGTAGCCCGCATTACTTACGATCCCTTCCCCCCCCCCCTCATTATCATCCATTAAAATTTTTTTTAATTATCACACATCACATGAATGGATACATCTCATGGACTTGCTAGCGAAAACGATTTTATCGATAGATTCGCTTGTCACTTGTTTCAGGACTGGATACTGCAAGACACTAGTAAAGAAACAAAACTCAATACTCCGCTAAAAGTAGAAATAAAAGCCTATACAGAATGATTTCGAATTCATTAGCATGTTTTGAATAAGATTGTGATCCACAAAAGAAAACCGACTTCAATTGTGGTAAACAACTGAACCGAGTTTGATATAATTTCTATATGATAAAAGATAAGTATATCTAATAATCTAAAGTAAATATATCCTTTCAGATAAAAAAATAATTTTCCAAATTGGTTTAAAATTAACAAAGTATGTAGTGACAAAAATAAAAATAAATCATTTCATTAAAAAAAAAATCCGAATTGAGAACTTCCCTTTTTTTTAAGTAGGTTGAAAAAATACTCCACCAGTGAAGGGTGATAGATGAGAATGAAAACAGGCCAGTTAGCCCATCATGATGAATTCATCAGGAATTAACCATGATAGTTTCCAGGGGAAACCGCAAGGAGGTCGACCTGGTTGGGTATATTGCTAGCAATGGGATTCTCAGTCTCCATTACTAACAATCCCTTTCCCCCCTACGTAAGTGTGTTATACCTTAGATTTAATACTTAGTACTTGTATAAAGTAGTAAATTTTTGTTGAAAAATATTTGTCATTTTATGACCCACGATTTTACATTTCCACATTCGTAGAACACTCCATCCATTACATGGGTGCTAATGATTTGCACGAATGAAATTTTAATGACGATTTTATGTATCAAATGACAAAATACATTGATTCACAATACAATTTGAAAATAAGTAATATTAGTATTTTATACCTTGAGGCTTAACACCTTAAGTCCTCAGAAATGGCAAATCATAGGGGGTACCATAGGCGAGACAGTAAACTCTGTTATATCCACGGTACTGTTCATGTCTATAGGCGGCGGTCACTACTTTCCATCAGGTGGGCCGTCAGCTTGTTTGCTATTCAAAATTGCATAAAAAAAGTTGCACTTCGGACGGATCGGCTTTTATATACAGATTGATTATGATTTCAGACTATATATTTAAAGTCAAGAGTGTGTAGTATTTATAATTAAATATCGTTCTCTTAGGAGGAGACGTGTGCCCATTCGTAGGATATTAATTGTATGAACATAGCGTCCCTCTTAAAACATCTTTAAAACCTAACTGTGATTGCCAATTCGCCTGCCAAGCATGGCATCTATTGGCAAAACCCGCCTAGAAGGAGACTTATGTTTAGCAGTGGACAGTTAAAGGCCGGTGTGATGATCATGATGATAGTTTTTAATGTGCGATAATAGGTTGATAACCCCGTCGGCGCTAACGGTATACGCTGGCAGGGTACCAGTGAGAGATGATAAGTGAAGACGAAAGCAGGTCAGTTAGCCCATCGTGTCGAAATCCACAAGAATTAAATACGATGGTTTCCAGGAGCAACCGCGTGGAGGTCGACCTGATAGAGTATATTGCTAGCAATGAAAATGTTACATCCTCATTCCTAACAATTCCTTTCCCCCTAATGATAATAGTTTTTTTTTTTTATGGGTGAAAATGGAATGGTAACCCCGCCTGCGCTAACGGGATACGCTAGCGGAGCACCAGTGAAAGGTGATTGATGAGAATGAAAACAAGCCAGTAAGCCCACCTGGTTGGGTATATTGCTAGCAATGGAATTCTAAGTCTCCATTACTAACAATCCCTCCCCCCCCCCCCACGATGATAGTTATATACTATTAAAATCATAGCCTTATAAAAAAAAAACTAAAATTTATTACAAGGTTTCTTACGTATTAACATTTTAAAGAAATACACTACCCGTCTCACAACAAAAAAAAAAACTTGAAAACAATCGACAGGTATTAAATACATATTTAGATGTTTTACTACAAAAGCGTGACTTATTTATTTATTTCTTTCAAGTAAACAGTTGCATAGACGATACATATTCTTATTGCCGCGAAACTACTTTGCAGTTTATCGGCAGCTCTGATGAAATTCTGATTATGAGTAAACAAAAGAAAGTCGGTTATATTAAAAATTAAAGATACTATTTTATTACAGTAATTTACAAACTCCCCCATAAAATTACAAATAAACATTGTTACAATGACTAAACAATCATCACAATGTTGAACACTGTTTAGATAAGCAGTGTTTAAAATTATTTTTTTTTTGTAAGACTAAATAGTTCAAATAGCTAAAACTTTTTTTTTAGACGATTAAGGTTTTTATGAATGGCTAAAAACGAGTGAATTTTGCTCCGTAAAAACAGCCACTTCAATGAACGAACGATTGCCTGAGAAACTTAAAAATATCTATATTTATTTATCAATGGGTAAACAATTAGACATACAAAAGTAAATAAAAGACAGACGCTTTATACTGATATACTCGTAATTATATGTTAGTCATCAGAGAAATGCTACATTAACCTTGATAGCAATAATGATAAAAATAGGATTTTTTATACCACGAAGGTGGCGAACAGACATACAGCCCGTCTGATGGAAAATGGTTATTGTAGCCTATAGACGCGTGCAACACTAGAAGAATAGATTTGAATTCCTGATTAGAATAGTGTATATAAAATAAATTTATAATATATAAATATACATTATAAATTTATTTTTCATATTTATCATGTGTATTTTACAAAAAGCTCAAGCTTAAACACAACACCAATGTATGAATGTATATTCAGAAATCTAAATTTAAAGATTAAAACAACAAACAAAGAATCTTTGCATCCAATAAAATTTTGTAATTGTTTTACCAGTAAATCATAATACATTATTTTATATAAATTTGTCCTATAATTACTACAATCAATAATTGGCAATAACCCCATCCTCGTAACCTTAAAACCAACGATAAGTTGAGAAAAGAAATACATAATAATTATCAATAAATAATAATAAATAACATAGATCGATAGAATCGATGAAAGTTAAAAAAAAAATCAAATTCTCTTTATTCAAATAAAATTGTTTGTTTACAAGCACTTTTAAATCATAATTTTTTCATGAATGCAGGATTCGGAAAGTTGGTATATGTTGAGAAACACCTGTAGGTAACTCAACACTTACCCTTTTAAATCTCTAGTAACATTATGTGTATTTATTTAAATGTACTATGTCTAAAATTACATGGTCGTTAAAAAGACCGCGCATGATCGACTAGCACCATATCCATTTGTCATTCAAGTAATCGTTTAATGTATAATAGGCTTAGTTCGATAAATGTTTTTTAATAACAGTTTTAAGCTTATTAAAAGGTAGATTCAAAATATCCTCCTTATTATAACATTTAATGCTTATTCCCATAAAATACCTTTTTTTCTAAATGATACTTCGGAACAGCAAGTTTAAATTTGTATCTAGTGTTCATATCGCTACATAGATATGGTTCATAGACATTAATTTGATTAGATGCCACAATTTTAAACGCAAATTATTAATAGCCTTAAATAATACACAAACTTTAGAGAATTGATCAAAGCAGAATTACAGATGATATTTATTACAAATAAATACCTTTTATAATAACAAATCGCATGTAGTTTAGTTCATATAAGTTGAAAACTTGCAATGTCTGTCTCTTACCTAGATCTATGATTTAATTTATAGTAAGTAGGTACTTAAGGTTTATGGCATTGAATACATATGTGTTACGTGGAAAAGATTTATTAGTACGCTTTTATATAAATTGATTGAATATATATATTCTCCGTAAATAGTAAACAGCACTCAACTTGCCCTTACAATCGTACTACTCCCCATACTAATTAAAAATATCATTGTTTAAACATGAATATTTTTAAACTATTATAATAAATAAAATATGGTATAGAGAATAAATAAAGTTAATAGATTTTAATATTGAGTTTCTTGCGGGCTCTTCTCAACAGATAACAATTTTTCGAAATCTGCATTCATAAAAAATGACAATTTAAAAGTTCTTATAAAAAAGTCTATTTGAAGAAAGATGATTTGAATTTGAAATGCAAAAATAATTGGTTTTATATGAAACTAGTTTTTTTTTACACGACTGTCCAAAAATAATAGTGCAATATTTTAAGAGATTTATTTTTTAAATGGCGATGAAATAGTAATTCTGTCTGCATTATCAGTATGCGTATATACGTATATTAGCGTATAAAGAGATGATAGATGAAGATCAGTTAACCCATCGTGATGAATTTGACGAGAATTAATTACAATGGTTTCTAGGTGGAACCGCGTGGAAGCCGACCTGATAGGTAGCTTTATGTATTTTTTTTTTATCATTTATGTTATCTCGCTTTTTTTTGTATATATATGTTGTAATTTGTGTGCTGTAAGTAAGTAATGCAAATAAATTATCTATCTATCTATCTATATTGGTAGCAATGGCGATGTTAGACTTTATTAGTAATGCGACTGTTAGTCTTCCTTTTACCCCCTTTTTTTTTAGAGTTGTGAGTTTCTTTATTCCGCCATATATCTGAACAGATTTGAATGTATCGTTGTAATCCTCATATTATCCCGAGTCAAGGAAGGGCAGTCATTATTTTTAAATGAAGCAAAATATCATTCATCATCATCTTATCAGCTATAAACTATCCACTGCTGAATTTGACCCTCGCCTTATTGGACGGTTTTGCCAGTAGTTGCCAGGATTAGCAACCGCAATTAGGCTTTGGCGATGTTTAAAGAGGGACGTTGCTGCCCATCCCTCGATCATTAAGATCCCTTAGTCGCCATTTACGACGATTTTAAGGAAGAGGTAGCCCATTCTATGCTGGGACCATACGGCGAAATATGTTGAAATGAAAATTGAATGGCTACCGCGGCTCGTGCTATTGGCACATGCAGGCGAAATACCGATAAATAACAATAGTTAATGAAGTTAGATCAAATAATAATATATGCGTATATGTAAATGCTTAGCATCAAGGGGGTTGTGTTTGTTTACAATGTTAGTGGTAACAATTTACAATCGTCATTAGGCGCGCTTGACCAAATACGCTCGGTATAACAGTCCATTAAATGGACTAAAATCTTCTAACTTCCCCAACTGGGACTGCACTGTTATATTTGATTATTAAAAAAATATACTGAAAACCTTCAGTGATAGGTATGTACCTAAATAAATATATATTTAGTAGGTAAGTCAAATGACTTGTGGTAAATACCTCACACAACTTATACCACAACTTTACAGTTCATCATCATCAGTTCATTTTTATAAGTGAACTGATAACCACATAATATTTAAATGTTTAATTGTACATTTCCTTTATTTCCTTATTATGTATTTCACACCATATCATAACACTATAAATAATAAAATAGCATGTTATATAAATATTACATACAAATCTATTTAATACAGAATATAACAAAAATAATACATACCTCAAACCTAATCCTGTTTTCTCTTTAAATAACAAAGGAGTGGTGAATCCATTTTTCTGTAGATATGACACTGTGATTTCAGAACCATGCATTTCAAGGACGGAGCCAGGATGCTCAAACCTGGGACTCTCCAGTTTATCTGCAAGGGAGAATCCACGACCACCTTCTGCTTCATCGTCTCCAAGAGCCCATTCATCAGAGTAGAGTTTCCGCTGTTTGCGTTCACGCTGTGTATCACAAAGATTATATGTTATATACTTTTATTTATCTAGTATAATAAATATTTAAATAAAGGTTTACATTATTGGGTGTATTATTATATAAAAATATAAAAAAAAAGAATTAAAAAGAAATGGGCATTTTCTTATTAATTCATAATTTATTTCATTAACTAAATAAAAGATCATACATTAATATTAATTATTAAAATATTGAATAACTATAATTTTGTTGACAAGTAAACTACCATTAAGTATAACTGTATCAGTAAATTCCTAAACTCCTTTGATTAAAAAAAAATTAAAAAGAAAAAAATGTATGTAACATTTTGAACACATTAGAAAAAAAATATCTAATCTTTAACCAAATTGAATACTATCTTATATATGCCTAAAATGTTTATCATGATCAGATTGTTTGTATCCAAATATAATTCTCATTTTGTTATTCTTAGATTCACTAAGAAATAAAAGAATGTCCACCATGCTTTCACTTTCATTACTTTTTCAGTTAATGACTAGGTATTTTACTAAAAGATTTATCTTTTCCTGTTCTATTTTGTGGTGTAATAATACGAAATACGAGTATCGTGTTCATACATGTAGAATGCTTTAAGCAGTATCATTAAGTAGGCAGTTTTTAAACGTAAGTCAAGGCCAAAGAAATACAAGCAAATAAATAAGTAACTTTATGCCTGTGTTACAAAACTTTCGTTACGAAGACAGTTCGTTTTGTAAATTGAAACAAAGAGCTCTTTGGCAAAATTAGGCATCTGTGTTGATTTATAATCAATATGTAACAGTGTATTTAGACGTTTCGGTCTCGACATCGTGTAATTGTTCGGTGGGACGGAAGATTAGTAGAGTAATAAAGTAGATTAGGAGCGCGCTCGACGTGTGGTCACACGGCGCACGCTCGCAGCAGCCTGTCTTCATCGCCGGCCGCGGGAGGGATACGCCTTCGTCCCTACCAGCCCAATATGTCCACCGACTTCGCTACGGCGCGCATCTCTCCGGCTAATATCATTTTCGATATATCGCAATGCTACGATCTCAGGAACTATTATAGATTTTAACACCTTCTCGCATGCGCGAATGCATACGACCGCCGCGTTTTAAACTCGGTCGCGAACAGCGTGATCGCAGAAAAACAAAGTCCGATGACCCTCAATGATGATCATCACTACTAACCACCTCGTCTCAAAATATATTTTCATCATATTATGGTAACTTTCGTAAATCGATACACGATGCAGCGATGCACCATTTCATGTTTACGTGATCCCAGATAAAGCCACCATGGCGTCACCCGGGACTAAATACGTAAAAATTTAACAATAAACACTCACCAGCTGCCTTGCCACTTGTTTTTTGTTATTCGGCAGTGTTTCCGACATGTTTACGTTAGTCAGAAACACTGCACCACGAAATTAACACTATTTTACGTAAATATTTTACACAGAGCACGAGAAAAAGTAACGCAATCCACCATTTGCAACAGTAGACACTGCTGCCAACGTTACAGTAAGCAATCACTCCGTGTTAACATTTTATGTTGGCACAACGTAAAGTGCCCTATTGGTTTATTTATCAAAGCGCTTAGCGGGAACATTTAAAACATCGAAAATATAATTCCATGGTTCTAAAAATTATGTGTTATTTAGTTTAATACGGCAACATATAATTATTTTTCCAATACCACTGAAACCTTAAATTTCAATGTTGAATTAAAAAACATTGTTTGTTAAAGGCGATTAACTGTGGTATATTATACCACGTGTAAATGTCAAACAAAGGAAACTGTCAAATCAGCAGTAACAACAGCAGGCAAAATGAAAACATGGTCTGATTTGCTGATTGATGAAATTGGATAAAGTACTTACGTATAACAATAACACTCTCTTCATCATTATCGCGTTTCAAATGTAAGATTATTTTAGAAGAAATTAATTATTATATGAAATGTCTACTGTGTTTAATTAAAATTTACTGGTAGTAGAGTTTCTCATCTATATATAGACAAATCAAGTACCTACATATGCCCTACAGAAAAACGTATTTGTACGGAGTTGTGCGTAAATATTAATACACAATAAAGTAATACAAATTCCTTTATTGTAATTTGTCCATTTTATGTACTGTTATTCCGTTAAAATATATTTCACCTATTTTTACTCAATATGTTAACTACAAAGGAATGATTTCACATGATTGTTTTTCGGTGTAAAAAAACTATATAAACTATAAGTAAATAACTTAAGGGAACATAATAACAATAACAAGCCGAAGAAAACTAAGCACATAGATAGTAATTATATAAAACTGAAACATTAACAAAAAAAAAGTTTATAAGGAAAAAGCTTAGAATGTTTGTACCCTATTTCTTTACACTTCATGTATTTAATAGATAATTTAGGTACATAAAATATTTATAAAAAAGCTTAATATCTTAATTGATAAATCTGTCTTATTTTCAAATGAGTAATTCCGAAAGATAAAGGCTCATGTTTAGTAATAACTTAGGTATGCCAAAAAGTATTATAGATGTGAATCATTAGGTATTTTTTACACTTGTCCTTTTATTCGGGGTTGGTATTCATCATTTGAATGGTTAAAATTAATTAGGATAGCTAGGATTTATAGGTTAGGTATGTTTATTGTCTAGGTAAGTACTAACTTTACACAATGCAGTAACACTCTTATTATAATTTAAGTAAAAAGAAAAATCAAACAAAAGTAACAGATTTTTATCCATATTAATGAGAAATATGGTGACGTGTTAAAGGGGCATATGATTATTGCTGTTATCTTCTAGTTCTTAGTAAATATTATCAGTATTATTACATTGTTCTTTTTTGTTGCCTCTATTGGTCTACTTAGGTAGGTAATATAAAAAAATTTTAATGCATGTGCCATGTAAATACATGTACAATATTATAATTATATGTATGTTAATGTCTTATTTCATCCGTGTCCGATTAGTATTAACCAATTGCCGTGTCCCTTCAATGTCATTTCAAGAGTATTCCGCTGTACACTTTTACATTTTTATTGTTTATAAGTATATAGATACAAAATTGCTAGGTAAAAATAAAAAGATTTTTATGTTAATTGTTTTTGTAGCTATTTTATTTTTAGATAATTTGAAAAAAGAAGATTTTCAACTGAATATACCAAACACTACCCAAGTATAAATAAACTCTGTCTAATGCAAACTGAATTCTTAAGCCAAGGGTTCCATACTTAGATATAAGATAAAACTTAGATTATGAAGTATGTTATACTACATTTATGAGGTAAAATGACTTTATAATCAAAATTATTTACGAGATCATTTTTATCATCAAATAGTTATTATTAATAATACTGCAATTCGAAATTAATTATTTTGAGTTTTTATTATCTTTAAAAACTGAACCGCGTAACTAAACATGTTTTGGATCTCAGTTATGTGATCTTTTTTTAATACATATTCATCTTCCTTTCTTTAATAAATATCTATTTACACATACTTTTATAAACTATTATTATATAATCTTTTATACCTATATAAACTTTTATACCTGGTGTCTAAGAAACAAGTTACGACTTAGTTTAGGCTCCACATCTCCCACAAATTACGATACTTTTATTTTGTATAAAGTAAATAATCCTTATAAATATAAAGTAAATAGTCATTGTAATTTGTGGAAATGAATAAACTAACTATTACATTATTATTATTACTTCAGATTTTTCAGTTTACAGGATTTGAAAATAAGAAGGGGTATTTTGTTACACTTTCGATTATATGTCAAAAAAATACATGGCATAAAAATAATTAAAAAACCGGTTAAATGTAAGTCACGCTAAGGGTTCTGCACATAATCTGTAGATTAATTGGTTCTAGTCTTAGGTTCTAGTATTTTCTAAAGAATAATTTATTTGACCATACAGATGTTTTATACACAAATATATTTACTGTTTTTTTTTTATATAATAGTTACCCAAAAATAATTTCTATTACTTTGTGACAATTCGAAATGTCTTATTTTGGACCATAACTGTAAAAAATAAGGGTAAAAATCGAACCCCATAATTCTGTTCCTGAAAGATTTTTGATAATTCCTTAAAAACTGTGGTATCTAGAAACATGATTTTAGTTTGCCAGTAATCTATACTTATAATAAATCTGTAGAGAGGTCAATTCTGTACATGAAATATATTTCCAAAATAACTATCAGGGGGTGATTAGTGATCGATACTGACGCCAAAAATGCAATCAGTAAAATTTTTGTTTGTCTGTCTGTTTGTCTGTATGTTCGTTATAGAAACAAAAATTACTCGACGGATTTTAACGAAACTTGGTACAATTATTCTTCATACACCTGGACAGGTTATAGTATACTTTTCTTCACGCTACGATCAATAGGAGCAGAGCAGACCCCCTCAAATTATTGTTTCCGTAAGCAACAATGCTTTCTTTGCTCACTTTACATAAAAAAAATTACAATAAGACCCTAAAGGTGTTTACAATAAGTAACTATTTCTACGTCTCGCAGCAAAATTTTTTCAATATGGAGGCCTACTTACTGCTGGGGCACACTCAAAACTTAACCTCATATTCAAATAATAGATTGTACGTGTTTTTAACTATAGAAATTAAAGGAACACTTCAGTAAAAGGTATTAGGTACCCAAACTAACTGAACTATATTGTATTTAAATTTTTATTATTACTTTAATTGTCTGTTCCGAAATTATTTAAAAAAAAGCAAATATATGTACCTACATAATAAATGTAATTGTTTTTAAATCAAATTGTGATAATTCACGAATTTTTCAAAAATGTTGTATTCCTGTCAATTTCCCTGATTTCTCAGTTCCCTGATTATAATGTTAGTTCAATAATCGGTAGGAAAATTATATAGCAATTCAAAATATTGCAGTTACAATATCTATATATTGGTCCAAATACAAACATATTAAATATCAGTTATTCAATATACTCCCTCTTCTTATATCTGGCGTTGTTAATCCCAGCTTTTGCCAGGGTTTGCCTTCAGACTCAATTTCTTCCACTATGAACGATCTCCAACACCCCTCAGCAGAGACTATTGGCTTCCATATCCTGGACTACAATGTCCAACCAGCGTTTTAAGGGCGGTCGTGTCGTGAGGCCGTATTCTATCAGCTATCCAATATATAATTTCGAAATCTAACTGGTATGAGCGATATCGAAATGGATGATAACCATTTTTTCCTGACAACAATGTTTACAGGAACACAATATATAAGGATTAGATTAGATTGTAGAAGGGCAAAATCGCACTTTTTTTAGAAATAATTTATTTTTGTAAACCACGGGAACCAATTAAGTTTTAATTGACTTTAGTAAATTCTCAAGTATATTAGTTAATACAAAAAAATAAATAAATAAACAGACCTTACTCTTAGTTACAACCAAACCCTATGAAAAAGTACTTCAAAGCGATTAAACTCGCTTATGTGTTGATTTATTGGTTCCACGACCTTTATAAATTGTAATCATTTGATTTTTTCGGTTCAAAAACTTCAGAAGTATAGGAAGAGAAAAGCTTTTTTTCGCATTTTCAGTCATAAATCATAAACATTAATATAATGCTGTGCAGTACAGCCACTTCCATAATACCCCACTAAGACTAGCAGGCCCATTTTAAAAAACTAACCACCTCTTTTGGAAAGAAAATATATTTTTTTTTAATTACTTCCACTGCAATATGAAGGAGCCAACGTCTTTTTTTTATACTACTTAGAATGACAAAATTATTCCAAATTCAAATCAATAACATTAGCAGTTGCTAAAATATGGCGCTGTAACAAGCGATTTTGACGGATGAACGGTAACATTGTCATGAATTCTTTGTAGCTTTTTGGTAAGGAACCCTGAATATAACAACAAACTCAGGAGTTTACAAATCTGTATTAACAATATGTTGTATAAGTGAGCCGTACTGACCACTGTTGAATATAGAGCCCCCAACAACAAACTCAGAAGTTTACAAATCTGTAATAACAATATGTTGTTTAAGTGAGCCGTACTGACCACTGTTGAATATAGAGCCCCCCCCCCCCCCTTAGTTGCCACGCTTGGCAGGTGGGTTGGTTGGCGGGTTATAACAATACGTTTGTAGGTATGCTTATATTTATATATATTCAGGAGTGAAGAAAGAATGATTTAGTACGAGATATTATAATGAATAGTATTTACAATAATAGTTATGTCGCGATACAAAAATATTGTTTGGTAAAACTATTGCTAAAGACAAGAAGATTATCAAGTACGTCACAATTTATTTTTCTAAAAATACGTAGATTTGAAATAGATTAGTAGTCTATACGCTATATATATATATATATATATATATATATATATATATATATATATATATATATATATATATATATATATATATATCATATATATATATATATATATATATATATCTAGGCTCAGTGGTATATACAAAGAGAATGTAATATTGAACGGATACGTATACCTAAAAGCTCATTCTTAAACTAATTTCTAAAATTGGCCTCAGGGTTTTGTCAATTTACCTGTCCTTTCCCACAGTGAATTCCAAATATCCTTTCGTGATCTTTTGCTCGTTGATTTTATGTAGGCGCCGATGTTTCATTAACTAGTCCATTTATACATGACCTTTTTTAAAACTACTAAGAAATGAAAGTTATCTCAATTCGATGATATTTACTGTATTGTGTTATTTTTGTTACGTTTTGATTTCGCCTAAATTTATACCGATTATTAATATTGTTAACAGGTTTTATTCTCGTAGTGGTTCCAAATGAATTTTATCTCTATTACTCTGTTAAAAAAATTTTAAGTAGTTGTTTGATGCTAATAGGTAATTTAAATATATAAATTTAAATTACCTATTAGCACCAAACAACTACTTCAGTAATATTATGAATACATATGCATTTTTTTTTTGCTGTTTATGGTGCCTCAATAAAAAGCATTCCTTTTAAAAAATATTATTTTATTTAATTTTTATGACAAAATATCAACCAACTCCAGCATAAAATGAATATACATTACAAACTAATACAATATTTTATTGTGTTACAATTGCACATAATTTCGATATTAATTAATTACAATAATTATAAAGCGATTAAAGCCGTCTCGTTCAGTACGTCACGTTAAAGGCCTTTGTGTATATTGGAGGTTGCCTAATTCTTCACACCAGAGGGAGACACCTTCATACGAATAACACTAATAGTATGAGGTCAATCCCGCAACGTTAATCTATAATATTTTAAAACCGGATCTTCAATCACTAATTCGCTGTCTGATATACTATGTACTTCTGGAAATTCCGTGCAGTCTTTTAACCAATTTAAATACAATTTCAAATACCTATCCTCAGGGTCCAAATCTGTATGACCCAAACAAAATATCCTATACGCATCTTCTCCATACTTCCCAACACCACACAAGTCGCTGGCACGACGCCAATTTGAAGATACGAATTGATAGCTCAACTTCCAAATCATTTGACTTCTTTTCCTCAGTCCTAAATTCTCAAAAAATCTTTCTAAGGTCGTCGGATTTTCATCTAATACATGATATGGTGTCGGGTATTCCTCAAAAAAGGATTTCATGTACGGCCTCGCGGTTTTTCCTGATGTTTTGGTTAAGAAGATCGTCGCTACTAACATCGCCCAAGGATTCGAGGCAAACTCTTCTTCGAATAGGTAATGCGGTGATAGTGGCATTTGTCTAGGCGTTATATTAAAAAATGGACGAACATGTAAAGGCTCCTGTTCTTCTATATCTAATTGTGATAGGCTTAAAAAATCATCAGAATCTATGGTACTTTGACTTATATTCGATGATAAATCGAGACAGTTTGATGGCGAGAGTAGAATTGTGTTAGGACTTTTTGACTGTAGATTTCGGTCTTGAAAATATTTGCTGACACACTCATGTTCTTCCATATTGAATTCTGAAAACAAAATAAACTTTTTTAATTGTCTGCAGTTATAATGTGTTATAAAACGACAAACAGTTAATACATTCGCTCTGCATTTCGACCTTCAGGTATATTCTTACCCCCTTATTCATAAAAAAAATTGAACTTCTCATAAACCTATTTTAGCTATTGAACTGTTTTGTCCCTTTCTTTTATGCAAAATTTCCAATTTATTGGAAAGTGACAAAACAGTGTGATAGTTAAAATAGGTTTATAGAAGGTTTTAGTTTTTATTAATAAGAGGGTTAGATTATAGGTGCGTTATTTAAAAAAAAAAATTACATATTTATCAAATTCATTTGAGTTTAATAATGAAAATAGTGTCATTATTTTTATACCATAGTGCACAGCATCAAACACAATATAAACGTAAAAACAAATAATAATAAAAAAAAATAACAAATTATAATTTTTAGCGTCCTTTTAAAGGAGTGTTCCTGATGTTGTTGTTCTACCAATGAGACTGAATATTTTACCAAATAATTATGGATCGATAAACACAAAAGTAGAGCATAGAATTTTGACAGCTTTTTTTGAAATCTTAAGGACTTCTACCTTCTTCAAGTATATCAACTCTATTGTACCCTGAACTGATGTCTCAGATATAATGTTATCTACTTTCCTACTCACGGAAAGAGAGGCATTAATGGCCATCATTATTATTATAAAAAAAAATCTGATTAGGATTCTCTTTAATTTTTTAATCTTTAAATTTAAATTTCTTTTAAATTTTTCGATACATGTTCTTTTTTTTAGAAAAATGTTTAATTTGATAGATAGAAAATTCAATAAAAAATATGCTGAAGAATATGATATCACTTGTATAATAATGTGCCAGAAAAGTAAATAAAGAAATATAAATAAATATAGACATTTTTTAAGCCTCTGATTTTCGACAACCTTCGTAACATGTTTTTACACTCCACCTCACCTTCCTATGGCCGCGGATTTGATCTCCATCCAAGACAAACATTTGTTTTCCATAAGAATCTATTGGTATATATATTTGTCTATCAATACTTAAATTTCCATAGTTCAGGCTTTGGAATAGTAAATTCCATTATCAACCATCAAAAAAATTCATGCTTTACCTAGTTTGTAACTAGATGGCGCTGTATAATACATTCTGTGGCATTTATTATTATTTATATTTCCTACATAGGTTGGCAACAGGTGCGTGACTCTAATAGCAGGCATGACATGTTACTAATAGGTTTTTTATATCGTCTACTTATTGCTGTCTATTTGATTGTCTGTCAATAGCGAAAATTGTTCACCATGCTGTAATTCAATTTGAATTTCTTAGAAACAGTAATCAAATTTCAAAGGAATTGTATTCGATAATATTATATGATATTTCCTGTTCATTCCCTCTAAACGTCTGAACATCTAAAAATATTATTAATGAAATGTAAATAAGCAATATCAGGAATTATAAAAAAAGTAATAAAAACAAAAAAAAAATCGTAGTACGAGCATGTAAAGTTATTATATAACACACATATGTATGTTCTTTTTTATTACTGCAAAAATTTATTTTAGTCGATTTAAGAGGGTTGCAGGGTAATATATTTCAAGTATATATCTTCACGCTGAGACCCTTGCCAGATAGGCAAAGAAAACCGAACGTTCGAAGCTTTTATTTTTATACAAATCTCTTGATCTAGTTTATAACTCGTCTTATGCATGCACATCAATTCCGAAAACTGTCTGAAATATGTCTATTTTGACATTTAAGTACTTATGTACTGTATTTAAGTATTGTCTCTGAGGTAACTATGGTCATAGAACATTTTGGACATATTTAAATCTATTTAGTGCGTAGTGCTCGTACTAATGGTCAGAAAAAGAGCTTAGTTTTTTAAGTTGTTGAAGATCAGATTTTTTTTTTCTTAAATAAAATTCTTAATTTACTAACTCATGCTGGTAAATCCTAAGGTTTACTAGTTAAACCTAAGATTTACGAATGTACGAACTTTTACAGTGACATACATAATATATTATAAAATTGATGTATACGTATAACATTACATCACAAATTTTTGCAAGCTACTGCCTAAACGACTTGATGGATAAATAAAGGGGTCATATTATCCTCATGTTTCCATTTTCTCATGATAACGTAACTAACAGAGATACAGATGTCAATGACAGGTCTGTGTTCCATCGATTATTTAGCCTTATTTCTGGTTGACTTTCGAGTAATAAAACTCAACATATTTTCCGTCCCTTAGAATATTATTATACTATATAGAGGCCGAAGTCAAAATAACATTATTTTAGTGTTCTATCAATAGAACTGATAATTAATCTCAAAAAAATATTCAATATACAAAAAAACGCGTAAATAATTACTTTTTTACTTGTTATTAATATTGTCTATTTGACACACTTATATAATAACAAAAACAATAAAATTTAGATAAATTTTAAACAAATTCATAATAGATGGATAACCTATTGACTTTTAAAATATAGTTATCGATATTCGTTGTAACTCACCTATCTTCTTTTCTATGTTACAATACATAGAAAGATATTTTTTACCTCAGCCAATATATTAAAACTTAATATTAAAACAAATGGTTTTAATATTAAATTTTAATATATTGGCTGGGATAAAAAATATTTTACGTTTTCCGTGTTTAGAAATTATTCACGCTGGCTTCGTACGGGTACATAAAAAACAATATAGCCTATGTAACATGCTGATAATGTAACTATTTATACGTAAAAGAATTTTTAAAATCACTTAAGAAATTTCTGAGTTTATCTATTTCAAACAAACAATCAAATCTTTCCTCTTTATAATATTACAGTATAGATAAATTTAGAATTTGGATGTTTTCTGTTATCTCTTGTAATTGTTTATTTCGTATTTTAGGAGATAGTCGCGGTTAACCATTGCAATGTGAGGGGAACCGTAATTATCCATTGAACTCTTGAATCATGACTTACCATAATTCTTCTTATAATAACAAATTGAAAAGTCGATTCAAACACAATGCAAAGTTGAAAAAAGAAATATCAAACGCTGCTTAGGGTTTTTTATTCTTCTTATTTTGGTTCTTTTCATACAGATAAAATTAATGAGTCGGGTTTTTACAATGAGGAAAATATAAGAACTGAAATGTAGATAGACATATATCTTTGTTTGCAACAAGTGATTTATTTCTTACAGTGATTTATTATTTACAAATGTGTAAAAAAATTAAAGAATACATTACTTATTATTCAAGAAAAATTCATTTATATGAGTAAGATTTATATTTTAGTAATATAAAAAAAAAATATATTAGTAAGATATGAATATTACTAATATAATAAAATTTTAATTAGACAATGTTTGTACATGGGTGATATTTAGGAAAAAATAACATGAGGGCTCTTAATAAGACCAAAATATGCCAAAGCAATAATTTTTAGAAATTTCGTCTATATGTGTGTTCTGACATCATGTAAATACTATCACACCAAATTAGATACGGTTTTCAGTTATGTTCCTGAAAATCTAATTTAAAACCTGACGTACGTTTAATTTTAATACACCATCTACATATTCCTATTTCCGAAATCCACGCGTATGAAGTAGCAGGCAAAAAGCTTTAAATAAAATCGGTCAGATGCGAGTTGAATTCACAACTCAAGGGTTCTGTACATAAACATTAGTATATAAATATTAGATAAAATTACATTTGTTGCATTTTTTATATGAAATAGACACCTAATAGTTATTATCATTAATATTATATATCGTAATTTCTTATTTTAGGCCATAATTGTTGTTAAAAACTAAACCTAGTTTTTTTTTTTATATGCGAGGTTTTTCATGATTTCTCAAAAACTGTGAGAACTACTAAGAAACTTTATTTTTCCTCTAATATTCACAATAATGTATATTTATAAACTGTGTTTTTTTTTTTATTATAGCACGACATGTGACCACAACATTCTAAACGAACACAGAGATGACATTACCCTACCATTTGAACCGTTAACTGTTCACTGCTGAACATAGATCTCCATTTTGTTGCCAGTAGTTGCCACGCTTTGCAAGCGGGTTGGCAACCGCAGTTAGGCCCTCCCTTAGCCGCTTCTTAGGACACCCACGGGAAAAAAGAGGTGGCATATTCTATGCCGGAACCATACAACAATGTTCACATTAATTCAAAATTTATTACTTCAGATTTCTCACTGAACTAACATCGGCAATGAATGAGGGGAGGAGTGGGTGGATTTCTTTTTTCAGATTTTCGATCATAAGTAAAAAACTACGCAAGATAAAAATATATATTATTACACTTAAATTAGTAAACCAATTCTAAAATTTTGATTAACTTTCTTAATTATAAAATCTTATCATACCTACTTGTTTAACAACTAGTCCATTACCCTAAGGTTGTCTTGAAAAGATTGCTTTCAGCAATAATACCGCCTTACTGTACTTACACAACTGTACCGTTACATTTATTAATTGTCTTAATTATTCCCTATATTGTAGAATGCAAATAAAGTATACTCATTCATACTATTCAAAGAAAATAAAAATAGTTTTTCAATTATTTTCATTGCAATATCTGTGGCCTAATGTAAAATTATTTGTATTGTATTGTTAGTTAGAATAAACGGACGGAAAGTCGAACTATAAAAGTTCCTTTGTATCTTTTTAGTACGGAATCCAAAAAACACCTGAAGGCTTGCAGGACATATAAGGACTGTTCAACTTACACGCTCGGACTGTATGTGTGACTAACGTTGGCAAATGAGTGTACACACACAACGATGATTGATCACTGTAACAATGGTCCGCTATAAGTTCAACGACACAATAAGGAACAATCACACCGATATCACAGATAATATAATACTATACTAGCACTGATAATAATCTACTAGAGGCTTCCTAGTAAATATAGATGACGTACTCAAAACGAATCTAGTGAAAATTAATCTTCTTTAAAAAACGAACTTTTATTAGTTTGATAAATGTTGAAAAAACAAAAGAGATCTCTTAAGAAAAATGGACAGAAGCAAAGAACATAAAATTCGCATTAACAAAATATGAACTCAAAGCACTAACAGACATACAAATATACAATGATATTATTTATTTGCTTTAAACAGACATTTGAAAGGTCATGTGACAGAACTTTTTGACATCTGTTTAATTGCCTTAAAATTGTAGGCGTGCAAATTTAATATATTAATTAAATAAAAATACAAAACTAATGTTGGTGATTAAAGAAAAAAATAAATCTAAATCAAACCAATAAAGTGTAGATACATTTCTAATAACGTCAAATAAAATCAATAATTACATTCTTTATGTCATACCAATAGCAAATTACAATCCATGTCAGTTTCAAAGCAATATTATACATAATTATGTTAACTATGTTTGAAGTGAAGTGAAGGCATAATATTCTCCCATATTGTAAAGCACCCTATCTACAAGAAGCTGTTTTTAAATATTTTCAAGGGTAGGTCTAAAAGATCTGAAGGAAGTTTATTATATATTTTTAGAGCCATAAATGAAGCATTCTTTTGGTACTAGGTGAAATTGCTTTTTAGTATCACAAGTTTATTTTTTCTGTGTGATCTAATACCTTCCTTGAGTTAACCGCATGTATTAAATAATTCTTGGTGTTGCTTAATAAAGGCACATATAACAAATATATACATACAAGGCAGGAGAAGGATACTTATTTTTTTAAATAATGGCCTACAAGATTTCCAGCACCCTACCCTACATAGCTAATAGCCCTTATAGATTTTTTTTTGCGCCTTGAGAACTCTTTCTATATCAGGTGAGTTCCCCCAAATAATCAAACCATAACTGTGGCGATGAAACAAATCCATGATGTGCACTGAGAGCAGTCAGTAGGGTTGCAATTTCGTACAATTTATACAATGCAAATAAAAACTTATTAATTTTTTTACATAGGTACATTATACGTGTTTCTTCCAATTTAAGTGTTTGTCTAACGTGATATCTAAAAAAGAAGTGGAAATTTCTACTCCTATATATATTCTACATATTCTTATAAATTATATTGAGACCAAAGCTGGGACCAAATAAAACTGGAATTTTAGACTTAATATTCTCGTATCTAGTTTAATTAATATTATTTAGGGTTAAGGTTATACGACTACTTTCGTTTTTTGTTACTGGCATTAAAACTATGGTACTGAACACTCTTGACTTATTTAATTTAAAATCATAATAATTATTGTTGAAGTTAGTATTATTTTTTGTTATGTTAATAAAAAAATATTTAAAGTATTAGCAATATCATTTAAATTGTCTATAATCTTACCATAGTATTTAATTTTATGAATGTCATGTTTATGTGATATTGTTTATATATTTTTTTGTATATTTTTTTTTTATACAACTTAGAATGGCAAACAAGCTGACGGCCCACCTGATGGAAAGTGGTAACCGTCGCCTATAGACATGAGCAGTACAATAATTGTCTAGGAAGCTTTACATTTGTTTTCTGATTGATTTAAATACCTATTGTTATTATTTTTAGTGCTTGACTTATACATTTATGTTATATTGTAGTGTATTTTTGATATATTTGTTGATTGTTTCTCTTGTTATATTGTTTTATTTCTATGTTTTGATAATAATGTTTACGCTTTTTGTAACAACTTTTCCTTAAACTTCTCGTGATCCACGGTGACAGTTTCTTTTTATTACTATTCTTTACTTTTATTGTTCGAGAGCACAAGTCACATAATAATATAAAAATATCGTGGAATTCATTAAATGCATCATTGACCTCTTGTTTATCTAATACGTCCGAAAATGAGAGGCTATTTATAAAGTCAATTAATTTGTTGATGTTTTCAATATTATAATCCCTTTTATATTCATACCTAGTATTTAGTCTCCTATTTTGTTATGAAAATATAATAGTTGTCCTGTATTATGGTCCGACAGAGCTAGGTTTTCAGTTCATCCCTTGGCTCCAACAATATTTGTTTGCCATTCTTTGTTGGTGTATTTATATTTATATTATAATTTTGTTAAATAAGAAGTATTTGTCCAAAATTTTATTTGATTTTATCATATCAATATTCCAATGCTCGCATAAAATAATTTTATTAGCTTTTTTACATAATTTGTTTAATAAAAATTCAACGTTATTTAAAAATACGGTTATATTCGATGTCGGTGTTCTGTAAATACAAATAAGGATCAATTTCAGACTTTTCAATTTAATTCCGCTGCATTCAAAATCACGAGGTATAGAAATTTCCTCCGCAATCATAATTTATTATATAATAAATCTTGTTTAACAAATATAAAGGAACCCCCTCTTTTATCTTGATCACGACAGTAAAAGGAGGCGATTTTATAATTGTGTAGGCAGAAATTTATGTCTGCTCTTTTTCTAATAAATGTTTTGCATAGACCAAAATTTTTCGATCTTTTTCATGACGCGACCTGGGCCACTTATCTTGCGACCCGCTACCTTCCACGGTTTCAAATGTGTATGAATTTTATTATAGTACAATTATGAAATCCGTACAGTTGTATTTATATTCACAGTTAGACATGTAATCGATATCTGTTATAGATTTTTCTTCATTATGTATTATTGATTTTAGGAAGAGTTACGTTTTTAATAAAAAAGCTTATTATTAGAATTGTTTTTCGAACAATTAAAATAACAAAAGATAGTAAAACAGCGGACTTAAAATATGTTCACCACCACTGCCCTCTTTGCTTTGCCAGTATCGTAAAATATAATTAATTAAAAACATTATAAATGTGAAATACTGTAAAAATATTTAGATAGCATTATTGAAAAACGGCTAAACTAATTTTGTTGAAATTTTACAAGGTAGATCAAGAGAGAAAAATGTGTTATAATGTACTTATTATCCCAATATGACAGACTTTCAAAACCAACCGTGACTTTATCAAGTTTCAATGGAAATTTTAATGATATCATTAAAAATTTCCATTCATATCATATAATTATATAATATCAGGCGTGTAATTTCATATTAATCATTTACATATTCATGTACATTTAATATATATCAGACACTTGTGTAGATATCAAAATTATTCAAAAATAAGAGGTTCTTAATTCGTCTCTATTAGGAATTGACAAAGATATCGTGTAACATGCGCGAAAAATAATATTTCGTTATTTTTGGCAGTAAGTTAAAAAGTACCTATAATATAATTTTACCATATCATATCAGCCATTAACTGTCCACAGCTGAACTTAGACCTCCCCTTGGGGAATTTAACTAGTAGTTGCCACGCTTGGCAGGCAATTGAGAACCGCAGTTAGGCTTTGGCGATGTTATAAAAGGGACGCTGCTGCCCATTCCTCAAGTATTAAATTCTCAAGTATAAATATATATATCGAGATCTATATATACAGAGGAAAATAAATATTGCTAAGCATAAAACTCAATAACGGATGGGCAGATTCGGCATTTGTTTTTATATTCATTGAAGTCCAAAGGATGTCTTTATGTAGGGAAAAATTGACCTAAATAATATAAAAGCCCTTTTTTCCCCAAACAAACTGTTCCTAGATATTATATAGCTTTTGGAAGACGTCTGTTGTAGCAGTGTAAAATAAATAGAGTGTAACATAAATAAATAAATAAATGGTAATTTTTTATAACTTTATGGACTTCAAAAAGAAATCCATCACATTTTTTTTGTCCAAAGTACTTCCTAGTTCATTTTTTATCTACTAATAAATAAATAAAATCTTTTATTTCAGGCATATACTCAAAGTTTACATTTAATTACTTTAATTACACAAATAATTCATTAGTATAATTTTATTTACACTAAAGTTTACTAATAGACTCTTAATAATAATTAGTGTGAATTTAGACATAAGACTGTTTGTCTATAAATAAATAAATAAGAGTCGATATAATTTCATTATAAATTCCTTAGTCGTCAGATATATCGTGTGAAATACTGCCTTAAAAATAGGATTACTTATTTTCATATTTTTTCATAAAATATTGCATTAAATATATGTAAGATGGCAAAGAAATCATTAACCCTATTCTCGACGCACATACCAAAATAAACATATTAAAATGAATTTCTTAAAATAATTTTCTATACATTTAGGTTTCAATTTATATTAACCGACTTCAAAAAAGAAAATTTCTCTGTTCGACTCTATGTATTTTTTTCAGTGCACTATAGAGTGTGTATCTAAAATTAACTTTGTAATTTGACTTGTAATCGATGTAATTCAGACATTATCATGTTGTGGGAAGCGGCATCTTTATAAGCCTACATTAAACACTTGACATCTTAACAATGTGAAATGAATATATCATGGCTAGAATGTGTCAACAATGGTCCATTGTTAACGATCTATTTTCCGGTTTGATATTTTCTATCATAACTTTAAACGACATGTCATAGTTGCTTTTCTTCCAATATTAATATCCGCGCCATCCGATCATTCGATTCCAGTATATACTCGTACGTTTAGTTTATTGCAAATTGCTGCACCGCGCCGGCAGCACGCGCGTCGCCGCTCCGCGTGATAACGGCGGTAATAAACGCGAAAAAAAAAGAAAACAAACCGAGCTGATCATTCGATCGATAACGAATCCGATTCGAAACGAGGGAGTTTTGAAAAGAGCACTGTTTACAAAACACTTTCTTCAAACCGGCATTCGGATACCGCGAATACTTACAAGTATCGAAGAATATTGAGTTGCTTGCAGTATTTATAAGATATTACGGAAGTGTGCGTTAGTGGTTGAACTGGCATGGCCTTTCTGGAAGGTCAAGGAATATTGGTGACTTTATAGATTATGGAAATCACTACTAAATGATGCGCTTGTGTCACAGCTGTGCAGTGAATGGTAAGTAAGCTAATGAATGACTCAGTATAATTATTATTTTAATTTACTCTATCTAAAATGTAATCAATAACTAAGGATACAAAGTTGCTTAGACAATATTCAGTCGTAGATTAAGATTTTTTTAATTGATTAAAATAGTAATCCCTTTTGTGTTATTGGTATACATTAACAAGGTACCGATGGGAGACGATAGGTGAGGATGTAGTCAAATTCTTTAGCCTATTATGACTAATTCCCTGAAAATTAACAAAGGTCCAGTAGATTCGTGTAAAGGTCTAATCTTTCTCTAGGCTAATCTCCATAAAGTACTACAAATAACCACCATTCACTGTGTCATAGCATGCAAAAATTGATAATTGAATACTTGTTACTTCAAACACTCTTTATATTTTACCCGATAATTGAAGAAAGAAAAGTAATGTTTTTTTGAGTATACATATACCTACCCGGATATACATAGTACATACATGTGTATACGAAGGTTTGACAGACTGTATGACCTGTACAGTTTGTTTGAATTATGATTATGTCCAGAAAGGGAGTGAATACTTAGATACAGAAATAGAGATGAACAGAATAAACGCCCACCCCAATATAGACTTGGGACAAGAACACGATGACGACTATTACAGTAATTTTTAATTTATATACACGTTAAAAACATACTGTTTACAAATATTGAAAAAGAAGTTGAAATGTTGAAAAATACGAGTAAATAACAAAAAACATGTTATTGTGATGGAAATAAGCAAAAATATTACCCATTTCAACAGCTGTGCAATTAAATTTTAAAATGTTAAGCATGAAGCTAATGAAAACTAATTAACTTATCTTATTCACCATTTTCAATTCTTGACATTATCAGCTCAATCTATTACTCAATCTGGATGAGTTTGGATGAAATGTATTCTTTAATAATAACTAAATTGGCACAAGATAATTTAGGCATAGGATAGAGGTTGAAAACTCTTAATAAATAAAATATAATTATTACAATGTAACATCATAGAGTGCCAGATTGGCTTCCAATATGTTTGCGCACAAACGTCATACATGAGAATGAGTGTTTCTACTAGAGAATAGCCTGTTCCAATTAATTGCAACTGCTCTATTTTTGCATATAAAGATTTATTGTTATTTATTTAAATTTTATGTTAGTATTCTATGTTGGTCATTTGTAGTCATGTTTAAAAATAAGTATCCAAATCCGTCAATCCGCGAACAAACATAATTACGCACTGATACATACCAATTAAAGAAATCAAATTATTTAATAGTTCCGTTTCTGTGTATAAATTATATAGGTAGCATCAGAGTGGAGTGTCACAACAAACCATACATCATTTGTCTATGTATCTATGCGTCTCTTTCTTGTTGCTATGCATAACAATGAATCATATACAATGCACCTTATATTCTTGTAGTAGTGTGCGTAAAATATTGATGGGCTGTACTTAGGTTAGTATAAAACAATTGGAACTAGTTATAGAGAAAACAGCCATCTCTTATAGACATCGCAGGTAATGTAGCTGTCTTCTACATAACCAGCTCCAATTAAGTACGTAATGCAACTTTGTTGAGTGGATATCGAGTACCAAGTCGGATAATATATTTCTTTATAGGAAATATAGGAATAGTAAAGCTTAAAATATCAATATTACTAAAATCCAGAGTAAATATCAATACTCAGAGCATTGTCTCTATAGAATAACTTTTGACATATATATTGTGTCGCGTCAAATGCTATACAGCTGCACTGATAAACAAATGTGACCGCACAAAAATTTCATAATACACAAGAAATCATTAGTACAGCTTATATAACACAACAAATAATTGTCCACTGTCGATGGAGAGTCAAACAACTCAAATTTTACAACTTCAAGAGAAAATGATTTGAAATAAATCACTGTTGAGTTTCAAGCGGATTCTCAGTAGAACAAAATAGTTTATAGATTTTGAAAAGAAGACTATTTTAGACAAACATAATTTCTATTGTTCTCTAAAATTACTATTTACTTTATTTTCTTCATTTAACAATTTAAATTAATAATTGGAAATTATTTTTATAAATATCGACTGTAAAATTATCTTAATATTTTTATGCGACTTAGAATGGCAAACAAGTCAATGATAATCTTAATGATTAATTATTAAAAAGGAAAATAAAAGAAACTACAAAAAACATTTAGTTCTCTACCTACGCAGACATACCTAGGTACTCTGTGTTTGAAATCGGACAGCTGATTGCTTCCATTGCTTAATAAAATGTAAATAAAGAACATGCACATATTAGCGTTTCGTAATTGGAAGGGCATGACGTTCTGTACACAAATTAATCTATTTTCCGTTTCTCCGAATGAAGTAATTCGGCGTAAAAACATTTATGCATTTGCTGTATTTTATCCGCGACTTCATTCGCGTATTTAGGATATGTACAATGACCGGAATAAAAAGTAACCTACGTCTTTCTCCATCATATACCTAAGCTCATAACAAAAAGTTAATAAACAAACGAACAAACTCACTTTCACATTTATAATATTAGTAAGGATACACTTTGTAGTCTATCTTTAAAAATGTCAGAATCATGTTTACAAAGGTCAACAATCAAGGAATGGCCTAAGGGGTTTATTACACTATCATTATATTGAATGACTTTAATGTATTATTCTATATTTTATTATAGAGTCATATACTCATAAATACATGGCGGAAACGGAGAGTAGTAGAGTACCCGACTACATTATTCCTAAACTTACCATAACCAACTGTAAATAAGTATTTACATTATTTTTCGTTACGTTTACATGAATTTTATTGTATAAGTTATCACTGACTATGAAAGTGTATCAGTAATTTAATAAATCTAAACATTTTACTATATAATTCAAGATTTTCCTATATAAAAAAAAAACAAATGTTTTAATCGTGACATAATGAATACAAAAAACAACACGGGATTAAACTCTAACAATTGCAGAACTGACGAAGATATCGTGTAACAGAGGCACAAAAAAGAATAAATCTAAATTGATAACGATTAATTTTTGCTTTTTAAAAGGTTTTAAAAACGCACCATGGTCGCTACATACCTACACATACATACACAAAAATTATTGCCCCCCCCCCCTCCCCACTTCCCACTCACACACACACACAAACACAGGCGTTTACATACCTCATCTGTTTACGTAGTAGTAATATTCATGAATCACGCCGATTAAAAATATTAAAAAAATCCAGGGTATGCACGCACTTAGATACATAAAATTCAAATATGTATGAATAGAGACCAAATACCATCGGTAAGACGTCGTGGGTGACGTCACCGTGATTATATCATTTGATTGAACACGTTTGAAACCAGTTTGCAGTCAGCAACAAGATTACGTTTAATACTTACAAAATATAATTTATAATTAATTACCATAAAAAATAAAACACCGTTTTTAACTTTTTGATATAAACGCGATTTTCATTAGAATTGTAGAGCAAATTACCTGCACTACACAGTCTTTGTTATATTTATACTATATGTTGGCACTTCCACTCCAAAAAATGGCGCTGCCGCGATTTCCACAAATATCGATGTTGAATATACAAAAAATACCACAGCTTATGCCTTTTATTCATTTTAAAAAGAGAACAGAATTTATGAAAACAAGACCCAGTTTTAACTATCGGAAGGAAGGTGATATTAACAATTTTAAGAAAAAAAAAATACAGTCAAATTGAAATCTTTGGAGTCGATGGTAAACAATAAAAAGAATAGATTAAACAATGAAACAAAAGAAAATTGTTTGTATTATTTTTCCTTCGTGAATAAAAACAAAATTCTTTGTCGACTGCGTACTCGTTCATTACAAATCTGTACGTAGTTTGTGTTAAGTTACAATACAATTTTCAATGTTTTTAAACAATTCTGATTTTTATCAATGGCCTCATATATTTCCGGTATAATTTATCTCAAGATTTATAGATCCTTGTAGAAAACTATAAACTTTAATAAGATTATCCAATAGCTAATTATCTTTACCTACCGGCAGTTAGCAACATTTGATCTTTAGGGGAGATGGGATTTTTAGTTTTAGTATATTTATTGCGTTCAAATAGTAGCCACTAATAAAATTGTAAATACTGGCCGGTAACAATTTGTTCCATTTATTCATTCAATGAATAAATCAGTGTTCAACCAACTTGCTTGCGTATCACTACAGTTAGTAATAGGAAGATTAGTCGTCATTGCCAGGTATTATATTCAGTGAAGTCGACATCCACGCGGTCCCCTATTGAAACCATCGTTGTTAATTCCTAGTAAATTCGTGACTCACTTAATTTTCATCTTTTTAAAAATAATTCCATCTTTTTGAGAAATGAAGTTTCTAAAATGTGTCGAATGTTCACTGCTATTTTTAAAAAGATGATCATAATTATGAATTCCTGACCTCTTTTGATTACTACTAGCTTACTACTAGTATAGTTACGGTGTGTAGGCAAAGTGTGCACAGTAAAACTTCGCTATGGTGCTCTAATGTTTAGGTCGTCGCATTTTCTATATTATGAAAGCATTATGCTGAAATAAATACCAGCTGAGTTATAAAAACCCCATTTGTCTTCTTGTTTATAATATTACGCAATATCTTAGCTAAATATTTTTTTTTGTGTGTGTAATCGATTCAATGCGTTAGACTAATGTTAATTGTCATTATTAAAAATACCAGGTTTTTTTCGCTGCAAAATTTTGTTCGGTATCAACATAAGAAATACTGTAGCAGAAATAATTAAACTCCCTCATTTTAGAAGCTTCCCTCAAATGTGATCGAAAAAAATTATGGATGCTGACCGGTTAAAAATATTTCTTAGACACAGGCATATAGAGGCATGGATAAGAGATCTATGTTCAATATTAGACAATAAAAGAATTAGTTGGTAGTGATTTAGCAATATCTAAATATAGCTAAAACATTTAGTAGACAAAACATAGTTATTAAGTAGTT